ACCGAGCAGGGAAGAACAGAGGGCAGCAGGACCTGAGGTTTCCCTGGCCCTTGGCTCCAGCCCTGCAGGATCTGAGCCCTACATCCAAGATCCCTCCACCATCCCCATGCATAGAACCATAGAATTACAAAGGTTGGAAAAGACCACTAAGATCATCTAGTTCAAATGTCATCCCATCCTCGCTGTGCCCACCAAATGTGAAAATCCCAATATCAAGTGCAACTACCTGGGATGGAGGCTCCAGCATGGACCCAGTCTCCAAATTTCTCTGCTCTCCTCAGGCTAGATCCTTCATTTGCTACATGACAAAATGGAGCCCTAATTTCCACACTGGTCTCCAGAAAAGTAGTTCTACAATCCGGGCCAATCAGACTCCCATAGATCATATAAATCTAGTGCCTTTGATTATTACATCATGCCAGAAAACTGAAATGCAAGTCAGATGGTTAAGGCATTACTGTGAAGACTCAACAATGCAAACCTTCCCAAAATGTTTGCTGTACTGACAATAGGAGTGTGACATCATGTGCAAACAAGCCTTAAATCTAAACCAGGTGCAGCGAGCTGCCTGGCTTTCCAGGGCTGCTGCGTGAACCACGAGCATGCAAGTGACAATGCTGGAGGCGAGAGGAAGGCCAAGCCAGGACAGGACCCATTCAGCAGCACCAACAAGTATGAACAGCTGCTACAGGGCAACACCAAATTCTGCATCACACATGAAAAATGCAGCTGTGGGGCCATTTGTACCAATTCTAGTTGGGGTGAATTTTATAAATGAGATACAAATTTGCTGATGCTCGTTTCCATGCAATGAGCACGCTTCAATTCTTATACCTCTGGAATCAAGTCCGTAGCAGAGTAATGAGGTTGGTCCATGTAACTACCCTGTTCAGCACTGCCTCATACTGAAGGGTTTAGCGGTGTGTAACACAAAGGTCGGCAGCCAGGACAGCTGTCAGGGAGCACAGAAGGCCCTTCCCTTCCATGATGCCGTGGTTCCCAGGCAGTTTCCTCAAGCAGTCGTCCATCTTTCCTTGGCCGTGGAGATGCTACAGCCTGAGCTGGGGTAACAGCAACAAATTTGCACTTCTGGAACCAACAGCAGAGCACAGCGCCGGCTTCATTTTGCTTTCCATACTATGCACAGGAAGCAAAGATGAGCAGCAAATGAGTTATGCAAACATTGTTCTTTATTTTCTGTTTTTCTTGGAACATACCACGCTGCTCCATAGAAATCTGTGGGAGGAAGAACTCAAAACAGGAAATGCATGGCACACAGATCAGACGTTCGCGAGGTATTTTTTACATACAGATGACTTTTTTTAAAAAACAAATTCCACATGAAGCACAGTTGAATGATCACTTTTAAAACACAAATACTAAAAACATCACCACAAACTGTAAAAATTAGGCAGCTCTTTTTCAACAGTGGAAACTGCCTGACAGTGGCAGTCATTGGGAAGTAGATGTGTCCCAAAGCTCCATGGAATGCAGAATAACTATAATGAATGCTTTCAACATCAAAGGCAATGTAAAGCAATGATTCTGTATTAAGTGTTAAATCTAATTAGGAGAGGAGTTCTACAGCAATCAACATTATTATAAATCCTGGACTGACCTGAAGCTGAAGCTTTAATTAAGAGTGCATTAGGATGCCCACTACTAAGCTAACGTTAATCTTCATTTCGGTATGTAGGGACAGTTGGAAACAACGTGATTAATCTTCATGTCTTTGCAGGGATGCACTGGTACAATGTCCATCTCCTCCTACTGTTTGTAGGAAGCAAAATAAAGAAGCCAGGCTGCTGAATTTGCAGGATTCCAAATTCAGAACCTCACTCTGGCTCTGTAAAAGCGTTGGAGCCAGCTCAACACACCTGTGTTCAAGGTGAAATGATCACCTGTATCCAGAACGGGCACAGCTCTGTCCTCACATGTTGTATGCCTTGCTGAATCTGCATGATGATGCTAATGAAAATTGCCACATTCCATAGAGATAATCCTAAAAATTATTTTTGTGAAATTATTTTTAAAAAGACTGGCCATTTTGGATCAGGCCCACCCAGGTCTATAACCTGCTTTATTGCTGCCTAATGGAGGTACATGCGGGCAGATGGCTCCTCTGAGTCCTCTCAGCCTCCACAAACTGCAGCTTTCAGAGCACTGACTTCCAGATCCTTACCACGACAACTGTTTGTGCACAGTCAGAAATACAGCAATAAAGAACAAGCCTGCATCCTCTCCCATGCAAACAACTCGTTTACAAGCAGGGTGGGATGTAGCATCTGCCCTAGCAGCTCAGAGATCTTGTTGCACCGTTGTGTCTCTGTGCTCAGGGGAAGGTGAAAGGAGGGGCAGAGAGAAGACAGCATCACCAAGGTTCAGTTTACAGTGCACAGGGACATGAGAGAATTTTAAACAAACTGCAGTGAAAATCAGAATTAAGATGCTTAAGAACAAGGGAATAAACAATGAGCATAGAGCACAATGCACACACAGGCTGTAAGCATTCTGTGTGCAGTACTCCATTTTTCAGTGCTGTTTATAAGAGACACCTCCAGCCCAGCTAACCACAGTGCATCTGAAACCTGAGCAGCCTTTACATGGGCACGGAATGGAAACTGGAGAACGAGAGAAAACAAATCAAAAGCTACTGATTCATTTTCATCTCTTACATTGTTCTCCTTGTGTAGCTGGGGAAAAGCAACCTTTCCAAGTGAGGTCAGAAATGCTACAGGATCCTTCTAGCCAAGGCTTCAGAAAATAAAAAGGTATACACATGATAAAGCATAACCATTGAAATTCACAATCTGGAAATATAACAACAACAACAACAAATCTGTATACAAGTTTAAAGAAAAATAAATTTAGAAGCATGTGAGTGTGAGAGTGGAGCTCAACAGAACTCATGCTTGTGTACTGCTGTAGTGAAACCCTTACACGGACATAATGCACAAACAGTCTGGGGAAAACTGAGACTAAAAATAGTGTCCTTACTCTGTTTCTGAATTGTGGAAAATGCATGCACCTTTTCCTAAATTTAGCAGCAACAGTTCTCTCCTTCTGCCCCTCTCCTCAGGTTTTAAATCACACATCATAGGACCTTCTTAAAAGTAGCAGCATTTCTAACTCTTTTGCGAATGGAAGATAAGTGTTCTGCAAACCAATGTGCTTCCATCCCTTCTGCACCACAGCCAAAATGTAATAATAGAGCTCCAGCAGAGGTGCAAATTGCTTCCCTTCATCCTCACGGAACATTAACTTCACACGCTGGTATTCATCAGCCCAATGCTACCTACCAGGGCAGTCAGTTAACAGCCTGACTCATGTACCCAGAGCTTAAAAATAATAATGCAGTAATTTCCATAGCATTACAGGAATCAGCTGTAAAACCAACACCTTATTTCAAGCATTTTCTCAGCTCCATCTTTTAACATGATGCACACAAACCCAACTGTGCAGGCATAGGGGATTGCAGTGCAGGGCAGACTCAGTTTTTTTCTCTGGGAGAAACAAAGAGCAAAAGCTCAGCAGAATCTTGCCAACTTTCTGCACCTTCACAGATGATGTAAATCTTCCACATTAAGTCCTGCTGTTCAGAGTTTAAAATAAAGTGCCTGCAATGATGTCTTACAACTACTATTCAACAGTAAGCTGCGAGACCATGATATATGAGAAATGGTTTTCATAAAACCTCACAATTTTAAGAAATATTCCTCCTAATTTCTAGCATCTTACAAAATATACCTACAATTCACTGATGTGAATGTAAGGTCTCCTGTTTTCCTAAGTTTTGGTTCAGTTAGAAAATCATTTCCTGATCTGCAGCTATCGTTGGTTTCTCAAGGTACACTTCATATGAAATAGATACTCAGGTTTTTGCACTGCTGCCAGAGATGCTCTGCCTGGCAGAATCCCCACAGCCAACAAAGCCTGGGAGCACACAGCTATCAGAGGGCAGCCACAGGCAGAAGGGACTACACCTGGTTATCAAGAACTGAAAAGGAAAGGTGAACTGCAAGGACAAAGGCAAGATGGACAGCCCCAATCCCTGATATTCACACAGTGCTGAGTAACTGTCTGACCAACCCCTTGATCACAGGAGGCCAGAGAGCTCTCAAGTTAGAGGCATCCCAAGTGCACAAAAGATGGAGAGTGAAGTTTGTGAGAAAAACACTGATCTAATGGCTGCTGTGGCCTTAAAAAGGCAATCCAATTCCATCCTCCTTTCTTTTCCTGTCCCCAAGAGAGCTCACTTCATTCAGTTTTTGGCAGATAATTCATCATCTTTCCAGGTTTTTCTGCTAGTGAAACTGAGCAGGAGCCACCACCATGCCAGTGCCATAGGAAGAAGCTGTGAGCGTCTACCCAGGAGTGGACATGCTGTTTCTGGTGGCGACTTCACCTTGTGTCATGGAACCCCAGGTAGAAGCTTTGTGATAAAGAAGCTTTGTGATAAAAACACCTGTAATCTTTTTCTGAATATAGTGTACAGACTTATAAAGAAAGGGGATCCTAACAAAACTTCTGAATTAGTTCCTATGTCTCATCACTCGAGTCTATTTCTGTATTAAACTCCTAAGCAGAAGAACATTCCTCAGGCAAAAGGATTCCTGAAGCAGTACCAACTGCACACCAACACCACCTGGGTGCCTGCAGGCCATCTATCAAAAGGGAAAAACATCTTACGGATCCCAAGAGTTGAGTGATCTGCTGGCACTGAAGTCAGAGAAGGCATAGCTTGCCAGCTCAGGAACAGAGATGGTGGTTCCAACTCTGCTATTTTCCGTTCCTCCCTATTACACAGGGAAGGATCAAGCACATTCTCTCTGGGTTATGTTGAATTTGGCACATCCTTTTCTGGAGAGCCCAGTGCTCCCTGCAGCCACTGGCACAGGCAGCCACGCTTTCCCAAGGCTGTCAGCTTACAAGTGAAGTCCTTCCAAGCTGAAATCAATTTTCAGGTTGTTCTACAGCCACCAGCAGTGAGGAGCTGAGTGTGACAACATTAACAAAAATAAAATATCAATACTTAAAAGACTGAATGCTGCCTCTCCTGCATCACTGGAAAATACGACTCTTTATGCAGAAGTGCTTTTGGGAACAGCACAGCTATGATTTTGCTGTAGCTTTATTTCTCACTTTTAGTTTCTGGCCCCAGTTTTGCACAGGAGCTTAAGAAAGACAGACCTGCTGCTAAGAGGTTAGAAATGTCAGTTTCTAGGGCGTCTTCCCTATCTCAAATGAGAAAACATATGTCAACATATTAACAGAACTGTTTCAACAGGATTTTCTAGCTAGAGTCAACTAATTTACTGTTCACCTTACGGACAGAAACATTTCCATAAATGTCATACACTAACTTCTTTCATGTTACACAGATGATTAATTTACTATGTTTCATTTGTATCTCATTCCAATTCTCAGATGTAAAAGTGCTAAGCTAAATTAAAAGAAATACTGCATCTGGAAATAATGAAGAACTTTCCCACTCTCTAAATCCTGCAGTTCGAGTCTGAGGTCTGATTTCTGAACTTTACATAAGGCATTTCTGCGGAGGCTTGACTTCTTCAGGGTATAGTCTCTAAAGAGATTAGGCTATTCTAAAGACATCAGATTCCATCTGATGGTAGAAATTTAAGGAAGCTTACCATGATATTAGTAGAATGAAAGCAGTGGCTGATATGAGGAACTTTTGTGGTGGGCACCCCATACCATACATAACAAAGCCCAGCTGGTGTTGAAAACTGCATTCACGATTCATTTAGACAGAAAAAAATTACAATTACAAAAGGGTGTGTGAATGTTTAGAGATTTGGGGTAAAATCAAGGGTCCACAAACATAAAATTTCATTTGCCTTTAGGACAGCAGAATGCCACCTTTCAAGTCCAAACACACAGCAGTACATAAAACACAGATATGTTGTATTTCAAATAGGAAATGCTGGTAGAAATAGGAGTGAGAGAAAAAAAGGTCTCCCACTGGCAGGAATACTGAGGTAATTTGAATAATACTGAATTAACTGAAAGTGATCTATTATTAACTACAAACAAAATCACTAATGCTGCAAGAACTTATTATGCTGGATGGGCAAAAGCTGCTAATTTAAAAATTACTTCAATATGATTCAAGTACACAGGAGGTAATAAACAAGAATACAATTATCATGATGTGCCCATTAAACTGGGCTAAGATGGTCGGTCTCTGAATCTGTATTAGGATAGATTAGGGTAAACATTTGGAATCAGTCAGTTCCTAATTTCAACTGGCTGAACTTTTGGAAATTATAGAAGTAGCAGCAGTCTTCTACTGCTAAGATAATACGTTATATGCACATCACAACTGATTTAAAATCCACCTCATTCTCTTTAAAAGAAAACTTGTCTTAAGGTTCTCATTCATTCACGTGCACCAAACCATCTTTGTGTAGCAGGAATTATCAAGAGATCTTTTTACCTGCCATAACAGCATCATTAAGAAGTAGTATTTTAGACTCAAGAGTAATGAAGGAACATCAACAACAGGCTGAAAAAGTGTTATTTGTTCTGAAGATGGTTGCTGTCAGTGCTTTCTGTAGGCTGCCCGTATCTCTGGGTCTTGCTGTCCTCCTGAAGTCCACTGTGGACAGTAACCACATGGCGTCACTGATTAATCCAATTGAGGATTATTAGAATTAAACTGAGCAGACCAACACAAACACCAAAAATAACCAATGCACATGCCTGTGAAGAAAGAAGGAAAAAATCTGTATTACTGAAGAACAGTGTGTAAGAACAGGGTTAAACAGTGTGTTTTAAAATAATCTTTCATGCTGCAAATTAATTAGTCTTCAAACATAACATGTCTGCTTAGAATGAAATGAAACTAAGTCTGCTCAGGGATAGTTTCACTGGGCATTCTCACAATGGTTTGGTTCACTTGCACTGTTCACCTGAGAAGTGTACAGATCTGCTTGAATAAACACAACTGTGAATGAATGAAGAAAATTAATTTGTATTTTACTCAAAATGGTTGAAAGAGCATCATCACTGGATTTTCTTTCAGGTTCCCAATTTCATCCACACGAGAGCAGTCCTATGAGTCATAGAGATGGCAGATGGTCACAGCATAGGCACTTTGTCACCATTTTTAAGACGAGAGGTAATACCTTTCAGTTGTACCAGGGAAGATTCAGGTTAGATATTAGGAAAAATTCCTTCTCAGAAAGAGTGGTGATGCAGGGGCACAGCTGCCCAGGGAGTGGTGGGGTCACCATCCTGGAGGTATTCAAGAACTACAGAGATGTGGCACTGAGGGATGTGGGCAGTGGGCATGGTGGGGGTGGGTTGGGGTTTAACTTGGGCATCTTAGTGGTCTTTTCCAACCTGGATGATTTGAGACACTGCTATGACATTGGGCTGAGCAATGGCTAAAAAGACAACAAGCACAGTTGCAGTGCAAAAAGCAGGCTGCTGCACAAATTCCAATTAGAACCCAACCAAATGTGCCAAAAGAGAAACCATAAAGGAAAAAAACCAACATGGTTTTGAGAAGGCTTAAATAGAAAACAAGTATAAACACTGTTTCACTTAAACACAGTTTGGCTTTGTTCCAGCTGCCCAAACAACATCAGAGTAATGCGTAAAAACCGCGGAGAAACTGGATTAAAAAATGACATCTGAAAACTATAGAGAAAAGCATGTATTCAGATCAACAGTCCAGAATACAGACACTCTGCTGGTTGGAGAGGTCTTGTAAAAAAGGAGTTTCAGACACAGCAGAGCTAATGTGAACAATAAAAGAAAACGCTCACAGATTTTGTGAACTGCACTGAAAGCTGGAACTTTGCCCATTAGATTACATTCTCTCTAGTGCATTAAAATGTATCTAAAATGAGCTTTTTTAAATACAATTAGCACATGCACAGAAAAAGCATACCCCGAGTTTGTGTGGTGACAGAAAGTCCTCTCTGCTAAGTTTAAGATAAAACAGTCCAGGATACACAAAAAGCAAACACGTCGATGTGGTTGAACCTATAAAAACCAGAAAGTAAGACTTTACTCAGAGCACGATTGAAACATACCAACTCAGTGTAATTCTGAACTTCTCAAAGAGAAAGATAATAATAAAAACCCACAACAACTTACCAACTACTCCGAATACATTTTTAATGTCTGGCACATACATTGCAAACAAAACAATGATTGTATTCAGAACTAAAGTGACAAGGATGTGGCAAATCCAAGACATGGGAAGGTGAGAGAAAAACACCATCAATACAGCTTTCCTCGCCTACATAAAAATGAAAAGAAACATTGAATGGGTAAATGAACACACGTACTTCTTTTTTAATCTTATTTCAATTTCACAAATTGAATAAAGAATTTTACCATACCAGATACAAAAGAGCATTTTAATTCAAAATGCAAAAATCATTTAGTAATAGTTAAATTACGTTTTTTTTTTCTCTCTGTTGCATGGAATTAACTTCAGAATTGAAGCAATATTTATCACGTGGCCATTGGTCCAATTCCTGCTGGGACAAGTAAAGGTTTGGGGGCCAACAGCGTGCTGCCAACTGGTATGTAATCCAGGGTACTTACCTAGATGCAGTTTTGACTATTGTTTTTGGTTTGTTTGTCATAACTGAATGAATTCTCTCAAATCTTCCATGGTATTGATAAGCTAAAGCAGTATTCTTGCAGTAAAATAAATCAATATGTGTTTTCAATTTACGATGAAATTGAGTTTTCAAGTATAAGTGTGTTTGTGTGTGTGTTTGTGTGTGTGTGCGTGCGGGCAGAAATGAAAACCTAAGTCAGCAAAACTCAATTTAGGAGAAAAAAAAAATCAAACTAAATAAACTTTAGAAGTTCTGAATTCTCTAAATTAAAAACAATGCTGTGGGCTAGTTTTAATCTGAAATCTGTCTCTAGAGCACAAATCAGCTTAGCGGTTCGTTGTTATTTTGGAGCTTTTGTGGAACATATGCAAATATGTGGTCTTTGATCAATCACTTGACAAGTGAATAAGATACACAGGACAAGATGTGTCTCAGATATTACAGCCTGCAAAGCATTAGTGTTAGCATTGCTTATGCCAGAGAGGAGTACTTACTGGGAAGTGGATTAGAGGGACTGTCAGAAGCACGGAGAACAGTATGGCCAGTTTAACAGTCATGATGACAGTATCATGTGGCAGGTAACTGCTGTAACCTCGCAGCAATTCAGAGTCCACTTTGTCTGAGAAGCAGAAAGAGGAATTATTCTCTAAATCATCTGAGAACTAATGTGAAATAATTAGCAACATGTATGAAGCTTGCATTCAAACGGACCGATCTGCTTGTGACTAACACACAGTGGAGGAGACTGTATATAAGCACTACTGATAAACCAGCTCAAACTGATTTGCAACCTGGAGAAAACAGAAAACAATCTGTGCAAGAGGCAAGATCCTGTAGAGACTCTGCTGAACTAAAAGCCATCTAACAGAAGATGAAGGAAATATGGAAAAGGAAGGCTTAAAAAGAAAGCAATTCCAAGCTTGCAGATACAGGTTCTGAAACTTTCAATCCTTTCACTAGTAAGGTAATTTTTAATCTTATCTGAATTTTACCATGTTAGCTAGGCTTAAAATAAAAGACAAGTTTTAGTGGCCTGAAGGGATGAGCAAACAGCAGAGGTAAAACCTAGAAAACTGCTGAAAATATCTCAAAGAACTGAAGAAAACATACAGATGTCAGTATCCAGAAGCCTTAGGCAATTCCTATAGGAGTATTTTAAACAGACAACAAAAAGCACTATTCACAAATTAAAATGTAGCTTTAATTAAAGTCAGGATGACCGGATTGACTGAGCCTTGACAAAGGCTCTGAAACTTAAGAAGGGGCTTCACTAATGAACAAAGAAAATGCATCTGGACTGCTTAAGCTTTCTATCACAACTCTCTAGCAATGCTGTAAGCAGCACTACTACTCCAATGAGCAAGTCAGAGTTCTGGAAGTGGTCTGTATGCTCCTCCCACTCAGAGTGCTTTGCTGGGCTTCAGAACAGACCAAATTTCCACGCAAGTCCAGGCGCTGCATTGAGTTTCAAATTCACAGAAAACAGTACAAAACTTCTGAGCCACAGAACGATGAAATATGACTCATTTCAAAGAAGGAACTCCTTCTTTGTTTTCAATTTAAAATAAAATGTTTTACATTTTCCTGGACTGGTATTTTAGGAACAGAAAACAGATTCCCCCTATTTAAAGAACTAAGTGAATTAAACAAGACAAGCAGAAAGTTAAAAAAGGAGCAGAAGCTTGGAAGGGAAAAACGTAATCTCTTGCAGACATTCACTGTTGGTTCTGGTGTTTTGGGCTCTTGAGTCTAAGAATTACTGAAAGAAATCTTCCTTGCAGAAAACCAGAAATATTCACGGTGACACAGACTAAAAGACTGCCATCAAAGGGCTTTGCCTCAAAGAAATGATGGCAGGGAAGGTAATAGGAACTGGGTCAGTTTCTATGAATTTTTATATTTTATTTTTGCTGAGATGTGACCTGGAGACAGATGGTTATCCCAGACTGACTGCTGAATCTCTCAGAGTGATGCTTCAAGTTTGAATTCCCTACAAAGTCACATGGAAACAGCAATGGTAATGGTGGCCTGTATGCTACTAGGGGCTTCAAAACTCCCCACTTAATATTTCAAAGGATTCTGTGTCAAGGAAATGCTTTCAGAAGTTATGGTCAGACATACAGTAATGCTTGGGAAACAAGGTGCAAAATTCCTCTCAAATTTGCAATTTTTAGCTGCTAAAAGACAAATTCTTGCTGTATACTGTAGTAACATTACTGTAGTATTGCTGTCTTATTGTCCCTTAAAAGAGGCACTCACCTACTTCTGTCAAAATTATGATGGATCTTTTAAAAAACAAGAGCCACTATGTAGATAAGTGTTGTGACATCTGAGTGTTGGCAAAATGCAACACCACCCCACACTTTTGTTTGAACTCAACTGTAAAACTGCACCCAGATGCACTGAAGAGTCCAAACACAGCTGTAACACCGGTACTGAAGTACGTTGTCATGTCAGCTCTAGAGCAAATGGAACTGAAAGATATCCATGGAACTGGTCAGGGGAGTTTTATATCCCACTCTTCTGTTTGGAAAATAAAAAGGTATATTCTTCAAGTGCTGTGTTGATGATATCTCTAAGAAATGTGCTTTTCTTGGTTCAGTATGTGCATCAAACAAACACCATTTCTGACTCAGGAAATGTATACAAGGCAATTTACTGAAGATAGGAAGCATGTGCTGGGAAGCCCAGATCAAAGCTTAGAGCTCTACATTTTTAATTTCTTTCCTAGCCTTTTGTCACTCCTCTGAAGCCAAGACACAAAATTAGATTGATCCTTCATCTGTTTCAGTCCTCCTAAGTTTCCTGTTGCCAGTTAATTCTTATCTGCCTTTACCTTACACGTTAAAAAAAAAGCATAATGAAGAATTCATTTTGTGCAATCCTTTAAAATAAAGCTTCATTTTAGGAAAGGATTTCCTAAAATTTCCTTTCAGCAGATTTCTAGTGAAATAGCTAGTGTTAGTTCTGATAGATTAGAAAAGCAAAACAAGGAAGCAATACATGCTCTGTTCCCAAGCTGTATCAGACAAGGTAAGCATGCCTGCAAAACTTCATGTCTCCCCAGCATTAGGCGTAGCTTGTCATGGGTCACATTCATATCTTGTATGCAGAGTATTTTTGAGCATAAACCCAGCACTTACATGTTGAGAAGTCAATGGCACTGTAACACTTTGCAAGATTCTTCATGGGACTGAGATTTATGAGGATCCAAGTGTATTAATGCATAAGCAAGCCTGAAGCACTAAAGACAACGCATGTACCATTTACTATCACACTCTAGAATACTTGAAAAATATACTCACCATAAAATGTCAGATACCCAAACAAAGCAGACATAAAGTAAATTATGAAACTCAGGCCAATTCCTGTGACAGCTACATTCTGCATTCTACTTTTGGATGGACTGAAAGGAAAGGAAAAAAAAAAGCAGCGTTGATTCATCTACATTGTGACCATTCAACACAACATAAGCTACGTTATTAGAAAACCTTTTATGAGCCTGCCTTTTATGAGAAAGCAACCTCGTAATTTAGGGACACACAGTATTTGTTGAAGACTGTGCTCTCAGTAACGTGGTTCTTTTTAAAGTATTTTTGATCTCCTAGTGAAGATTCACTTGTCACAGACATCTTGCACCGTTCCCAGGTGGAAAGGAATTCTGCCATGCCTGCCAGTGAGATTTATTTGTACATTTATTTGATTTTTAATAAAATAAAAAAAGCAATTTATACAGGATCTGGGCCAAAAAAGCACTGAATCTGGTGAAATACAGATAATAAAGAAAAAAAAATTAACTACTGAGCACCTTAGTAAATGACCTTTTTTCCCTAGATGGCCAAGACAATGTACTGACATTGGTGATAGAACCACATTTGCTACTCTTCTCTCCAGTTAAAGAAGATAAGCCAGTGCAGACTAGAACTGTACATTTTCAAAAAACATGAGTGTGATTGAGGCTGCAGTTTTTGATGTCATTAACTTGAAAATATAATACTCAAGATTAATTTAGGAAGATAGAACAGAATGCTCCCATTATATTTGAATATTGCATGTGTTCTCACACATTACCTTTGGAGCTCACAGTAAATCGGTAAGACTGAGGTATGGCAGAGAAAAGAGAAGGCCATGGTTGGTATTGCATAAGCACTCTAAAAGAGAAGATAAACACCTTGTAAGTTGTTTGTTATTACAGATGGGTGGGAAATTATCTGGATGAATTCAGTGCAAGCCTTGAAAGACGGTGGAAATCATTCAATTTAATGCTTCAAGAGAAATCTCTGTAACACAGAATGGTGCCTCTGAGTTGTTATGTAGAACTGGATCTCTTGAACAAGCATCTCTTCTGGCATTGTTCTTAGCTTAGTATTTCATGATCAGGAGAGGTCACTGGGCAGCACGTCAACAGAAGGCAAGTAATTAAGTAAAAAGAGTAGGAATTTCCCCAAGGCTGGTGTATTATCCATGAAACTCTCTAAGTTTTCTTAGCTACCTGTCAAATTACTGTCTCCCTTACCCTGACTTCCCTATTTTCTCACCACTTCTTAAATACTTGGATACAGTTTCCAGAAAACATAATGTGCTTTACCATCTAAAGTTTTAAGACAGTTACGTAACTAGGATTGTATCAAACACAATTAGTGGTATATTATTTCAAAAACTTACATTAGAAGAGATGAATCATCTAGTATAGCCTGCTTCAATTGCCAAGTGGAATAAGCTAAACTACAACAAGGCCCATGCTGGTAAAAATATGCCACTTTCAATTGATAAAATTGAAAAAGGCAAAACGCAACATAGATGAGTTCCAAACTTCTACAAAGCACAAAGGCCAGACAAAAAGCTGGATCCTCATGGTGCTTGTTTTTGGCCAAAGCAAAATTTCTTCTTTGATCTGCATTTAACATTTGTCTGACATTGGGGTAGTTTTTTGGGGTTGGAGTTTTGTTCTTTCAGACAAATGTTACCAACCGTGGCCCACTTGAATTTCAATATGCTACAGACCTATCTCAAACTTCTTCTTCTTTTATCCCCATTCTCTTTACCCCAAATTAACCAGAGCTCTACCTGATAGCTCTTCTTCTGCAAGCCTTGTTGGGTGAGGACGTAATTTAAAAGCCACATTAATTAACAAATACGAGAGCTGACATCCAGTGAAACGCATAAGATGGCATTAGGACTGAAGAATTAGCTCCAAGTAAGTAAAAATGAAATTTACATCCAGGCAGTTTCAGGAAACCTGTTCTTTAAGGATCTAAATGCATGCATACAGTCAAACAGCACTGCATTCCAGCTGAGGGCAAAGACAGCGCCCAGATCCGACTGCATCCTGAGGCTCAGCACCATTGCATCTGTTACACTTCATTCTTTGGTCACATTTGCAAAACGTTTTCATAAAATGCTAACTTGGACACCCAGCCGTCGCATAAAAGAGCGAGACTGGAAAACACTTGGCAGTAGGTATAGGAAATATTTCCACAGCCTGTAACTAGTTTTACAGATGTTCAGCTTACCCTGGATAGAGTTTAAACCCCAATTTTTTAACACCTCCCGCCTTTAGTTAGCTTATTGTTAATAGAGATTACCTCTTTTGAAAGATGAAAGAGTTTTGCTTTACAATCCGCAGTAGAATTTGAAACCTGTAAGACATATATGGCAAAAAAAAAAAAAAAAAACATAAGGAAAGAATGAGCCCAAGCCACAGACATGAAAGGTTTTGGTTTCTTGATAGTAAAATTGTGATAGCTAAGAAAAGAAGGAATTTAAATAACAAGTAATTCTGAAAGTGTTAATGTAAAAAAAGCATTACAGTTAATAATAAAATGTTAGAACTTCCAAACAGCATGCACTTTACCTGTAAAGTCTCTATTGTACTGCTCAGAGGTAGAGGACAAGGGATGGACCATTTTTTAATCATAATCTGCAAAGACAGCACGGATTATAACCCCAAAATCAAGTTACACTTAGATGCACATAGCTAAAGTATCAGACAGTTGGCACACAAAGCAGGAAGCTAAACCCACAGTAAATTAACTAACTTGACTGGTAGGCAGATAGGCTACAGAAAGGGGAGCCTGACAGCAAAGCTTGTCAGTGCCATTCCACACAGCTGCTGGCTAAGCACAGCTGGCAGCCTTATGGCTTGCCTGTCTGGAGGTGCTGTGCTGAAATGAGCTATGACATTAGCTGAAATACAACCGGTGCTCCACATTCACTCTCTCTGTGCCCCATGCTAACCACCTCCCATACAGAATAGCTGCTGTGTTAGCTGTCCCAGGCCCTTTCCCTAAGCAGACAAGCCCTTAACAGATATAGAGCAGAGCCTAGGGCTAATCTTAAAAGGCAGAAACATATGGTGTGGACTAGAAAGCAAAGGAAAAACAATAAATGCAATTATTGTCCCGGAATGTCATTGGGGCTTTAGCTACACCCTGCTGCTTTAGGGACTGCCAAGTAACAGGGCTGAAAATCAAAGGGAAATTAAAGTAAGCAATGTTACCTCCTCTTTCAGGAGTCTTGTTTAAAATGATAGTGGCATTGCTCTTCTCACCCTAATTAATTTCCTATTGTAGATGCCTGGCTTTAGAGGTTATAATTCTTTTGAAGCCTAGAGCAAATAATTAAAAACTTAATTAAAGACTCAGATCCACAAGAAGAATAACAAGGGAGAGAGCGTTTCTTCTGGCTCAAGGAATCCACTTTTTGCTCACAGCCAAGTGGTGTTTCCCAGAGAACTTTGTGTCACAAAGGCCAAGAGAAGCCTGCCTGTGTGGGACAAGGAAACAGCAGGTACCCACCATGCTGCTTCTGCAGTGGCAATACCTCCTTTGAGGTATTCAAGAACTATGGAGATGTGGCACTGATGGACATGGTCAGTGGGCATGGTGGGGGTGGGTTGGGGTTGAGCATCTCGGATGTCTTTTCCAACCTGAATGATTCTATGAGAAGGAAACAAGTTTTTCAAGGAGATCTCTGCATACTTGCAAGGTACCCAGAGAAGGGAAATAAAGGAGAGGCTTGGAGGGCTCCAAAGTAAAAGGATCGGTAAGAGCTCTGGCTAAGATTTGAACAGGCTTCCTAAGCAGCGTGAAGGTGCACAAGCTAAAAGGCAAACTCTGGGGAAAGTGATCTGTGCTTGGCAATGGATAGGCACAGGGCTTTCTGCTAAAGGGCAACACTGTGTAGAAATATTGCAGAGGGGGAAGAAAGAAAAGCCAACTGCAAAAACTGGAGAACATTCTTCTGAAAGGACATGAATAGAGATTTTCAACAAATTGAAACGGAAATAAAAAGAGACAATAGAAAATGCACTAAATGCATTTTAAATATAGAATTTTATTTCCCTGCCCTCTTAATTGCTCAAATCTGTTTGGATTACTGAATGCAGTACACTTCATATCTCTAATGAAGCCACCAACAGGAAGAGATTTTTACATTGTTTGTGCAGCCTGATCCAAATAAGCACTGTTTTTCAAGAGTAACAAACATTTGGCTGTAACTTAGAAAGAAAGCAAAACCTAAAGGCAGATTCTGATGAAAACAAAGTATTTTAAATCCACAGCACGAACACTGCTGCAAATAAAGTCAGTCACTGGCTCTGGGCAGCCTGGTTTGGTGGTTGTTGACCCTGCACATGGCAGGGATGTTGAAACTAAATGATCATTGTGGTCCTTTTCAACCCAGGCCATTCTGTGATTCAGAGTTCTCAGAACATTCTAATAGATGTTGCTTTTTATTATCCTGTGGATGGAAACAGGAATCCCTTTATTCCAGCAGTCCTGACAGCACTCAGCAAAGGCGGGCTGTGTGTATAACATCATTCACTACATGTGGCAGGTTCCCAATCTGCATCACATTTTGTTCTGGGAACGTAAACAAGAGATTCAGAAAAATACCACTAGGAATCATTAACACCTTTGTTGAACAAGCTACCAATAGGGCTGTTCCCACCAAAAAATCTGGTTTTACTCTTCACCAATATTCAATACAGCAAGAAGAGGCAATAAAAAAGTGCAATGATCACGTTTCATTTCTCTTCATTTAGGATTCACATCGGGAAAGTATTCAACAATGAGAAACAAGAGAAAGTGCTCAGGACCTCACAGAATCTGGCTTTCAATTAACAACTGAATACATACACATTTTTTCTCCCTCATCAGTTCATCTTGGTGTTTTCATTCTTTCCAAGTGAGGACTATAAGCAGTGCATTAACTCTACAGGAAAAGATAGCAAAGCACAGGAGGTGTGTGACCTGCCAAGGCCCCATAGCAGAGCACAGAGCAGAATCTGCAGACCTACTGATCAGGACACACTGCCTATCACACCTATCTTTTCCACATGCTGTATTAAAACTGTGGCTTGCTGGCAAGAGGCTTCACGGATGGCATGCACTTGAAAATGCACAGAATTATTTTGTATGTAAAATATAACTGTACAGCTTGCATATGACTAACACAGCTTTCTTCTGGAATAAATTAAAATGTATCTGCCATACAGAAATTAACACTGTGCAAACGAAAACAGCATTTCAACAGCACATGCCATCTACTTCAAAGCAATTAGATGTGGAAACCAAACCACTGCTAATGTCTTTGAGTTTCAATGCGTTTGAGTTTCAATGTCTGATGAAGTCAGAGAAAATACTGTGCAAAGAGTATTAGTTCTCCTTAAATATCACTGTGTGCTCCTTACCTAGAACTTCCCACACACCTTTCTGTTACAAAGAAACACACCTGAATCCTAGCTTAAATCATCACAGTTACAGCTGCATGCAAGTCTTGTTTATCTGAGCCCCAAATTACTTTCAGTGCTCTCCCCCATTAGAAAAGCTTTCTTCAGATATGTGCACAAATTCACAGCCAAATATAGGAATTGAAATTGTTGTGAAACTGTTGCAAGTAGCTTCACCCTGAGACCTATTCCAGCATTTTTTTTCCTTCTTTTAAGATAAATTTTAGGGAAGAGGTCAAAAGTTAAGGTAATTTATAAATATTACAAATGCATTTCCATTAGCTCTGAAAGGCTGTGGCTGCTCTTCAATGCTAAGCTTTGGAAGAATACTTCCCAAGGTCCTCCAAACACTGCAGCTCTCCAGGGATACCCCAGGGTGATGTTTTGACAGCTTTGAAGTTTGGTTTTATCACATGGTTTAGTTCCTAATGGATTACCTTGGTCTCCCGGATGGCATGTTTGTTCAACTTGCCTTCAACTCTGTTTATCCCTTTGTAAAGCAGGTATTAAAAGCAAGTCAATGCAAGCCAGAATGATGAGGGAGAGGGGGAACATTGTTCCAGGCTCCCCAGAAAGATTCCCATTGATCTACCTGGATGACAGAGTGCAAGTAGCTTGGTTGTGCCATTTACTACACGTGTGCCTTCACATAATATTCACTGTAAGGAGAAAAAATGGTGCAACTTAAAGGTATGTTTTTCCTCCCAGATCAACCGAGCAGTTCTCACTTGAGATATTTGGAAACATCTACCTCAGAAGGGCCTGGAGAGGGTGAGCATCAGGGTCAAAAAACCCATATGGCTTAGAGAAAAGAACCTTTCCTTTGAGCAGGAAAGCAGAATAAGGTCATTGACGTATTAATGAATCTTGTAAACTGTCTTAATGAAGTTCTAGTTTTCCTTGCCTTTTTTTGAACCCAGTCACTCCATCATACATGTAAATCTAATTTATTTGGAGTATATTAAATTTTCTTCTGCACTAGTTGCAGTAAGTAATAGTTAGAAGCTAAGCAAACAAAATTCCATTCTGTTACTAGCAGGGAAACAAAAGTGTGTGTGCCAGCTCCCTTCAGTGCACTGTCAGCAAAACAAAAATATTGTTGCATTTGCCAGTCCAAAATATAATTATTTTAAATCTTTTCACATGTTTGAAAGTTCATACACATTTCCATGCCTCAGCAAAACAAATAGAGTCTGTCCAAGTGAGCACATACTGAACTCCAAGAAAACTAAATGCTACATAAAATGGAAGAGAAGAGAGGAAGACAATTCATTTCAAAACAGTCTTATGAAAACATTTAAACAATAAGAAAAAAAATAGATAAGCTCTGCTCTGATTTTTAACTTACCACAAGCACAAAGTACACCATAAAGAAAAATGATAAACTACTTGTGTAGCCAAGAAAGCCTGTAAAATAACAGTAAAAATAAAAGAGAATTTATAAGGAAAGTGATCCTAATGTACAGCTAAAGCTTTACATTTTAGGCATGTTTTCTATTACAGTGCTTGGTATCTGGGGCTTAGGACTCAGAATAACAACATTCCAACTGCCTGTCACAGATCATTTATGCAGTTTTGTAGGGCAGAATTAGAACTGGCTTACCACTAATGGCATGCTGTAAGTAAATGCAGCTCTTTAATGTTCTGCTGTAAAGATTTTATTTTAGTATTGCAGACAAAATACTACTGCAACCCAAGTAATAGGTTAACTAGGCAGGGCTGGAAGGCAGAACACAGTACAACAACTTAAGCAGCCCCCACAATGGCCAGCCCCCTGCCAGTTTAAATAAATAAATAACCCATTAAGGTTTTAAAGTCTTCAACTGTAATTGCTACTAAAGTAGAATAATATTTGCTTCTCTCCTTTAATTACTCACCGATTTTAGGAAGAAGCGCGAGGGGAAATACAATGCAGACCCAAGTAATGAGTAGCAGCAGTCTCCCATCGAGGTACCAGGACCTGTTGGAAAAGCTACTTGTGACTGATCCACAATTCACGAGGCCTAAAAAATATGTTCTACTTTAAAACTGCCATCTTGGACAAAATAACCACTAAGGACAGAAGCAGTAAATAATTTCAGTTGCACATGCTATTTACATGCGCTTGTATTCCCGGTGTCTGTACTGATATAAAATAGAGCTCCCAGACAGTGAGAAGCAGAGCACCATCCCATAATTAACCACCATGCTGGCAATGCTCCATCTGCATGGATCAAGGCTCTGATGTGTGTACAGCTTCTTCTCAGCAGCTCCATATGTGAAACTTTGCCTCCACTCAAACCAGTGATGAGAGTGCAAGGGCATTCTGTCCATGCCGATCTGCAGCAGAAGTACTTCTATCACAGAACCACAGGGTTTGGAAGGGATCTTCTGGGGATCACCAAGTCCAATCCCCACAGTGTTCCATGCATCTCAAATTGGGTGACACTGAGTTGTATACTTCCACAACTGGAAAAACATGCAACTCTCATTCCCACTTACTGCACAATCTCCTGTTCATCGTTCCTACATGTCATATCATCACAGAATCATAGAAAAGGACCACAATGATCATCTAGTTTCAACCCCCCCTGCTATGTGCAGGTCGCCAACCAGCAGACCAGGCTGCCCAGAGCCACATCCAGCCTGGCCTTGAATGCCTCCAGGGATGGGGCATCCACAGCCTCCTTGGGCAACCTGTTCCAGTGCCTCACCACCCTCTGAGTGTCCTCTGCTTCTCAGCATTTCCAGGAGGTGTGAAACAGGAAGTCAAGCAGCCCAGAAGCCAATCGATTGGCTGTTTAAATTTTCTAAACACAGCAACTTTTCACCCAAATTTTGCTATTCCAATCAGCACAGGTCAAATATTAGAGGAAACATACAAGTCAATCAGCTTGCTGTTAATTTGAAGTAACGTTTGCTGTCCAGAGGCAATATAACAAAGAACTGCAAAAAGGGAGACTTTCTTGTCTTTAATATAGCACAGAGTGATCCTCATTGCAACACCATCAAAGCACAAAAGAGATGGAAACTGCTGTAATGTTCATATAAAAACACAGATGTAAAAAGCACCATGGAGGCATATGAAGTCTTGATGCTGTAAAAAAAAATCTATTCAGTACCAAAATCTCATCTCCTAAGCATAGGGAAGCACAGATGTGTAAGCTGTTAAGAAACAGAAACATCTCGAGGGTGGCTCCCCGAACTTGGCACTGGCCATATCCTGTACTGATAAACATCTTGCACATCAGCCCTCGACTTTACTACCTATAAACACCCTGCCCTTTGACCTCCACGTTTATTTAGTCCAGGATATGGTTAGCACCTAATAAACAGGCAGCACCTCAAGTTATCATACGGAAAGCAGCAAACACCTGTGTTGAAGAATTACCAGAGACAGATATGGAGCACCGTTGTGCATTGTGGCCAACTGGCTGCATCACTTAACATCAAAAAATTACACGTGATACGAATGAATGGAGAAATGTCAGTGCTGAGGGAATCCTTCCCCTTTCCAAACCAAAGTAACCCTGAAGTAACAACACCATACACACCACTGCAGCTCAGCAGGCCAAAGGAAGAAAGTACTTTGGTTACTGCATGGTAAGTGAAAAAAAAACTGGGGGGCGAAGGGAACAAAAAGAGCAGAACTGCAGTGAGGTGAGGTGAAGGAGAAAAAATAATTTTCTAAAGTGTTTACTTTCAGAATATCCTTGATTAAAAAAATTTAAAATAACAAACAGATCAACAGAAAGCAGAGAACCATCTTGGACCACCAGTTGTCAAAAAACGCGGCCGTTTTCTCCCAGAATACTGCTGTAGAAATACACTTATTTTCCACAGGCAGAATAAATGTTTCTATATTTCCTTTAAAATCAGTTAATCCACAGATATAATCCCATATGATAAAAACATTCCAAGTATGAAATACGGAATATAAATCGTTGCCTCTACTGAAAATGCTTTGGCATGCAGATGTTCCTCCTCCATCCCTCCCCCAGTTTTAACTGAAAGCAGACATTTATAAATTGCTTTAATTTCATTCCTGAATGCAACAGGACAAGGGATTCATATGTTCTACATTAGGATCTGACTCTCAGTCCATACCAATTATGTAACACACAAGCAAGACAACTTAATTGCATCAATCATATCCTCCTGACAGGGTCATTAAATGTTAACAGAGGGCTCACGAATTACAACTTTTTAACACAATCCTCATTGGAAGCTATGTTCATGTCATCAAAACTACGTGGAATTCTTCTTACGCAGACAGACAGAAACATCTCAACTTGCAATTAACAAGTGTTTACATTGCATGTTTTTGTTTTTTAACACATCAATATATTAAACACTGGCTCTGATCCTTTCCAATGCACGCACACCTGCTTACCTTTAGCTACAAAAATAATCCAATTTGCAAAATGACTTTCCTGTGAACATGCCTTGGGTTGGTATATGCACAGAAAACATTTCACACAGACAGTTTAACTGACACATCTGACAGCTTCTAACTTCAGTTGAAGATAAATCCTGCACCCAAATGGCAGCATATCAGATGCCACAGGGGCTGAACAGAAACAGAACAGTTGTGCAGCCACATCTGGAAGCAAGAGGCCCAGTTAAAAGATCTTAATCAAATGAGGCAATATTTATGCCCTTTGCATACGTAAGTTGCTACTTGGTCCTGATAACTGATTGCCTATTTGTCTTGAAAAATTCCCTACGATTTACATTCTGTTACTCAAAACCTACTCCAGTGTTATGATAATCATGGAATGGTTTGGGTTGGAAGGGACCTTTAAGATCACCCAGTTCCAATCTCCCTGCTATAGGCAGGGACACCTCCTTCTAGACCAGGTTGCTCACAATTCCACCCAGCCTGGCTTTGAATGCTTCCAGGGAGGGGGCATCCACAGCCTCACTGGGCAATCTGTTCCAGTTAAGAAATCAGAAGTGTACTGCAGCAACAGATGATGATCCATCATGGCAATATAGATGAAATACAGTAGTGGGAACACACAGGCCAGCTGTGTCCACAAAGCTGGAATACTGACTGACTGCTGCATCTCAAGTACCTGCTAGGGCAAAGAATAGAGGAGTCAAACTGTGTCAAACAAACACCATTCAGCAGAAGAGCTCTCAGCAACCAGGCAAGGCTCTAGCTGAAAATGAACGCACCACTTGAGCTGCAGCTGGCATTGCAATGGACAGTTTCAGCTCTTTCCAAAGGCAAAACTGAACTTCATTCCCAAAGTGCAATTCCACCTCAGGAAAAAGCCTGGGTGGTACTCATGCTGACAGTGCAGTGTGAATTACTGTGGCTCAGCCCATTTGTAGTAACTGGTTCAGCTACTTTAACCTGTTTGCTTGCTCGCTAGCTGCACAAAGACCTTTGATAAAGAGCATTATCTGCATAATACATCTGTTGTTTATACTGCCTTCTTTAGACAGAACAATCCTTCATATGTACGTATGCACACACAGGGCACTTTCAGATTCTACCTATTAGAAGTGCTCATAAGCTGCTTAAAACTGTGTCGTTGTTGGGAAAAGTCCATCTGCATAAACAGAGCTGGCATCAAATTAAAAAAAAAACAACATAAGTGATGTTACGTGCAAACGATGGCAATGAACAGATTGGAGCAGATAAAGCAGCAGATTCAACAGCACTCTGTATGGGACAGGAGAGCTGAAAGCACAATTTGGAAGGAGAAGGTAATAAAGCCCAAATGAAAAGCTGATGACTATCACAGCTGGAAAACTTGCATTAACAGAGCAAAAATGACATGCACATAAAACATAATCATTCATTATTAGGCCCTTACTAAATATGCATTATTGTAAGGGCAAAAGGAGAGCAGGAAGACAGAAAGTGAGGTTAGCACCACACAATTTCTCAAAGCACATTATAAAATTGAAGAAAATAAAGAAAAAATAGGACTTGAACTAAAGTGCCTTTTTAAAAACCAATTTCAACCTAGAAAGCATAGCAGAAGCATCACACAGCCTTTAGAAAACTACAGAGTTTTCAATCCAGTTTGAGCTCAAAACACCTAAAAAAATCAGCTTGGAAAAACTGCAGTAACAGTGTGAAATACACCATCAGGGATAACAGCAGCACTACAACAACCTGAATAAGAGATTTCAGCTCTGAAGCTGCAGCACTTGCCCTAGGGCAGGCACAGATTCCTTGTGACAGCTCTAATAGGAATCTGAGGGACACACATTACATACAGCTTTATAGCTCAGTTGTGAAGAATAATTTCTTTACTGGCAGCCAAGTTATGGAATTATAAACCAAGCCTGGAAACCTGGCCTTTTTCCCAAGACAAGTCCAATTACTGGAGCAAGACAACAAAATATTTAAATTTAAATGTCTGCCAGATTTCATACTGTGGTCTTGAAATATTTTAAGTGATAACATGACAGCAGTTTAAATGTTTCTCCTCCCCTCCCTCCCATCCCTTCCTGCTTTCCCTTTCAAATTTTTACAGATTTCTTTGAATGGAGTTTTGCCACCGACTTTAAGGTTGTCTGATGGGAAAGAATCACACTCTGTGTGCGCTGCAGAAGGTTTACAGATACCAAATATTTCATATTCCAAGAATGCCTGTAAATAAGTAACTTTTTAGCATGTGAGATCAGAAGGAAGTGTCAGTACCCATCTCCTCCAGCAGTCCTGAGCTGCTTTCTTCACCAAGATAAATTCACAATACTTGCAGCATTTTTACTTACCCGCTCTCATCTCCACTTAAGAACCCTGCAACAGCACCAGGAAGCTCAGACTTCACAATTAACAGATAAGATGACATAGCTGCAAACAGAAGCAGAGCAGATTCAGCACAGGAACAGCAGTACTGTAACAGCCAGCATGGCTTAACTAGCACAGTTATGACTGGAACATCTCAGCTGTATATTAGACACTGTGGCACCGGAATCAACATTTATTTTCTCATATGCTTCCTTTAAAAATAGCTGTAAATCACTGAATACCATGCTGATGCTGGCTAATGCTTCCAGAGAGGCAGTTATGACGTGAGTCCTGAAGCAAGGAAAACATCATCCAAAGGGCTAACAAAATAATACTGAGCAGCAGGCTGACCCTTTACCTGGCAACATAGATCTGCACAGACTGGGGCTGCAGCACTTCTTCCCAGCTCTGTAGTAGACATTGATGAGGATGAGAGTAACTCATGAGATTTGCTTCTATCAATACAACAGATCTTTTTAAAATACTTTCTATTTGTTGTTGTTCAATTGTTGTTACACCAAATAAAGGCACTGCAAATCTAAACACGAGAATGGGACTTGAAAGGCTCTTTATATACTGCATGTCTGTATTTACAAGAACTACAAATCTGAAGAGAAAGTGTTAGTTAATCCTGCAGGAGTGATGATTTGAAATAGAGCATTTATATTTGTACTCATCAGAAAGTCATGATGCATACAAGTAAATCCAAGCACTACTTCATGGTGCCATTTTTCTGCTTTGCTCAATGAAATGATCAAAGGCACATTTAATCAGAAAAAAGGCATAAATATAGAAGAGTTCTTACATTTTTTATCACAACTTCTATTACCCTGATACCTTCACATACTGCTGCTGTCACTTTTTGCTTTCACACAAACAGCAAACGTTTGTACAACCCAGCAACCAAGAGAGAATTACTCATAACATCAGGCATTACAAAGAGCTCCAGCAAACATCACAGCCTGCTGGGAACTGACTGCCATCTGTCCAAGTGATGTCAGCACTGCGCCTGCAAACGCCTTCAGTCATATACAAAGCTTGATGAAAATTCATCTGTTGCATTCAAATCTTACTGACCTGTTTGGTAGTTTAGAACACTGTGCTTCCTTTTCTGATGTTCTCCAGTAATAATATTTGTTTGAAAAATGTATGACGGCAAACTTCCATATGCTGAGTTAAGAGTGGATGTTTTGAACCCTGGAAAATGCGTGGACTCTGACACTGCTGTACTGCAGCAGCCAGTGTTAAATCTGAAGAAAGGGAATGTGGTCTCCATAAAGAAAGCAAATTGCATTAATGCAAAGTGACATCTACCTACCGCAAGGTTAAATTAAAAACAGTTGGTGGGTCACTAAATAAGGAAATATTCGCTTCTTCGTAATTAAAAGCTCTGATTTTTCTAGGATTTGACTGTATTTCCCTGTTGACGTGTAGCTGTTGTTTACACCTGGCAAGGTGTGTTACCTATTGCCCCATTTTACTCTCCTATCTGCAAAGATCAAAGACCTTTCCAGCATGTGCATTTCTAAATCACCAGAATTTGTAAGAAAATTAACACTAAGCTAGGAGGGAGTGGGTGTTTCATCCTAAGCAAAGAGAGATGGTCAAAAAAAATCAGGAGGTGAAAAAAGAAAACTTCCTCTAAAGTATAATTAAATTTATTTACCCATTAGCCTCCTTTCTTGTATTGCACAATGCTTTGTACACAAGCAATTTGGAATTTTGATATATTTACGCACCTCAGAAAGGTTTAAAAATTAGTTCTTTTGCAGCTCAGCTGCAGAAAGCTTCAATTTCCAGATCAGATTTCCTCCTACCATGCAATCTGTCACTCTTCCCTCACATTCCTATTAGCCTCTGGCTAATCATTTGATCACTTATCCTTTGTTGTGCACTCACTCTTTGTTTTTTAAAGAGGAGTCCAATTTCACTGGATTCCACTCTGGAGTTGGGAACCAATCATGCACCACGAGTCTTGCACATGCTGAACATTTGTCTCCATCTCTCTTCCTTTCTCTGTGCATACGAGAAACAACCTCATGGGACAAGACTTTTTTTTTTTTTTTTTGCCAATTTATCTCCTCCCGTTTGTTCTATAAGATGGAGAAAATAAATAACAATTCTATTTAGATCCTGCTGTTCAGATACAACACAAATCTCTTAAATAAACCTGAGCAGGACACCCTCACTAAATACAGTTTAACAGAACAAATCCTGCTTGCTTTGTAGTTTACAAATGTAGCTGTAGTGCAGTTCATGCTTCTCACAAGCAACAGCTCCTGGAAGTTTTACCCAGCATGACAGAAGAAAAAGATAGAAACGTCTGTATCGCATTCTACGAAGTCTGAATAAATGACTCTGAACAGATCAGATGTTAACAAATTACATGTCCCACTACAAACTGAGTGCAGAAGACTGTTTCTCAAAGCTGAAGTTATCTTAGGTAGAAATAAAGGGCACGTGCTGTGGCTGAGGAAGAGTTGCTCATCTTTTGATCCAAACATGACATTTTACTTAACTTTCTGATGCCTGCAATGAAAATCAGTGCCAAGTAGTACTGGAACATCTGAATATCAGTCACCCTTGGTAGTGGGATTAAAGCAGAAGGAAGAGATGCCACAGTCACACGGCTACGCTGTGCCACAAGTGAGCACAACATGAAGCATACCTTGGGTTCTGGTTTATTCCACTCTGGAAATACCTGCATCCTGTCACTTGCAAGATAAGGGTAATGCTTTAGAGGTTAACTTTTAAGGCACCTTATAAAAAGCCTGGCAGGTCTACATTAGTCCTTAGGATTCAAGCATTCAAATCTATCAGTAGTAACATTCCCTTCAGTTTGTCCCCCTTTCACACATGTGGAACAAGAGCAGAACTTACTGCTCCTGCACCCCACTTCATCCCCTGAATTCAAAGCCAGCAGCCTGTTTTCCTTATATCACCTCTTTGCAGAATGAGCCATCTGTCTGAGCACTGGGTGAGGCAGGCTTCCTGCAAAACAAAGGGCGTTCAGTGCTGTAACCTGAGGCTTTGGCAGCACGCAGGTGCTGATATCCATCACTGGAGCAACCTCAATTTGCTCACTCCTTCGTTTTTAGCTACTGATATTGCAGCAGCGATGCTGCCTTACAGTAACTTTCAATATGCACCAAGAGCTATTTGATGGAAACTAAGTGAGTCTGAAGTTCTGTATTCAGGAAAATCAATATTCAGATACTAGAACAGTATTCAGCAGGAATCAAAATCACTTTACTACTTTGTCATTCAATAGACTTAGCACTGCCTTGGAAGCCGCAAATTACATTCTTAAAATACATACATATATGACTTTGTCACATTCTGAAATTTGGCATTGACTCTTTGATGAAAAAAAGTTTGTCATATAGAAAAGGATACTTGCATTACACTTTCATTACTACATTACAACCTGCTGAGCTCTATAACTGTATGTACCATGAAGATATTATTTGAAATACCCTCACTGTGCTGTAATACTGCTTCACACTCACCACGAGGGCCCCTACCTGAACAAAACATTAGTTGCTAGTGAGAAGAGAAACTGAGGTTGTTTTTAAGTTTGTCCCCAAGCCCCTCTTTAGGGGCAGTCCACGCATGACTGGTGTTTTAGTTACCAGAAAAGTACTTGTAATGTCTCCTTACTGTCCTATCAAAAAATGATCAGCTGCTGAAATCCACAGTAACAATGCAAGAGAATATATATATACATTAAACTTATGCATAAACATAAGATTCATTCCTTCCTTAGAAAATGGCTGGTAATAAAGTCCTCCATATAATTTCACTCAAGGGAAGGATTCTAAATCTCCCGATCAGTCTTCCTAATCTACCAGCACGGCTGATCACATTAGATCGCTATTAAGACATCTCACACCATTAAGTGCTGAGCAAAAATGGAACCAGGCTGCAATCTCCCTAAGCAGGAGAGGCAAGCTGTGAAAATGGGTGTTATCCACACAAATGCATCAGCTCTGCAGCTTCTACTGAAAAAGAGCTATGCTGGTTTGGGAACCAGGAACAAGCAGAGCAGTTCTGGTTCTCATCTAGGTGAGATAGAGATTCCTCCCAGGTGCCAAGAGATGATGGAGATTAATCAAGATGCTTGCAACTCTTAATCCTCTGAAGAGTTCCATTAATAAGATCCTTGTTTTCCCCTAAATACTGAAAAGATCAGAGGCTGAAGGACAGAAATAACAGAATAAATCCTATTTCACAGCACACTTACGCTAAAGTGAGCTGCACCTTATTTCCCTCTTCTTTCACTGGGGACACACAGGCAGCAGATTTCTTTTACTAAGATGTCATTAGCTTAATTGCACTTATGCTAATAGAACTGCAGTGTTTTCCATATAGCTATTCATGTTCCAAAGCACAGCTGCAGGTGAGGAGTTCTGCTGTTTTGTTTTTAAAGCAGGGTGAGCATTCCCTGCAGCACAAACCATCCCGACAACCACCAACTGCAATGGGAAAACAGCACGGCCATCCATTGTGAAACCAGCACGGGAGCACACAAACCTGCCCTTAATTAAGGCAGCTCTGCACTGGAAATCCTCACTGAGAAACAATGAAGGTAATTAGGCTGTCAGGTCAAAAGCAAACTGCGCTGTGAAAACAAACATTTGAGTTTGCTTGAAAACAGAATGAGGCTTTCCATCCTTAATGGCAGCTCAGTAATTTCTTAAGGTATCAGCATGTGACAAGGTGTGCTTTCTTCTTCCACGATTTGCACTGTTTGTTTATTTTCAAACTTTTGTACAGAGTACTGTACTCCGGTTAGAAAAATAAGGGTTTCCGTCTTATCTCTCGTTTCTCTCAAAATATTCACTACGTTCAAGATGAATTTTGTTAAATACATTTATAATTAAACTTCAGAATCGAGGAACCCTCAGTGGAGGAAAAGAAAAAAAAAAGAAAAGAAAAATGCTCTATTCACTTGGTAAAACAAGCTCCTTGTTTCGCTTTGTTGTTAGCCATGTAATGAAAGGGAGCGCGCGTATTCCTCACACAGGGAAAAGGGGTGAAAAAAAGAAGGGGGGAAAGGCGGGAAAAAGCGGCCCCGGGGCAGCAGCGCGGGGCGGCCAGCAGGTGGCGCTGTCGGAGCAGCCCTCAGCCGCCGCCGCTGCTGCCCCCAAGGCGGCTCGCAGCCCCGCGCGGCGCCCGGGAGCTGAGCCGCTGCGGAGAGCGAAGCTCGAAGATCCTTCCAGCACGGGACATCCTCTGGTCCTACAACCCTCCGCACGGCAAGAAATGTGCGTTTGGGAAACTGCTCCACTTACAGACCTAGAGATGGTTTGGGTCGGAAGGGACCTTTCAGATCACCTCGCTCTGCATTTGTACCACGACAGCTTTCCTGCAGCTCCACAAATCCAAGCCGTGCTTTTTGCCTCGGGGTATCCGCTGGTAGAGAAATCAGCTCCGCAAAGTCGTTAATGGGCAATTAGGATGTCAAATGCAAATCTGCAATTCAGGCTTTCTTTCTAAGCGAGCAAAGATGACAAATGAGAAAGCCTAGCTGTATTTACATGCGTGCTAAAAGCTTTCTCTGCCACAAATGAATGTAAATCACTTCCGAGCTTCAATTATTTTTAGAAGTGATCAAACCGACTTTAAAAATGCTGCGAGTGACAGTGAGCCCAGCGCAGTCGCTTATTTTAATCACAAATCATTATTCATTATCTAGTGCTCCCCAATCACCTTTGAAATCAGATCCCACATGATGCAATGTACCCAGGTCTGATGATGGAGGAGGTAGCAGAAAACAATGTTTATTTTTAGCCTTATTCTGGAATTAAAGATGTTGACAGAGCCTGGAATTCTGCCCGCCAGACACAGTGCTTCCTTCAAACAGCCATAAAACAAAAGGAGGGGAACACCTCATTGCACAAAGGTAAAAGGGCAGAACTGAAGCTTCATCCTTCATTGCAGCACGGTTCCCATTCAGGGTAAACACAGTTTCATCACTCCCACTTAAAATACATAGGAGCCAGAAAAACAAGAGATTTTCCTTTCTTTCTTCAAGCAGCCAGGCTCAGCGAGAGATGCACAAAGCCCTTCATCCCCAACCCGGGCTGCGTCAAAGCACAGAAGGCATTTTTTGAAGAGAGAAACAGTACAGAAATCCGAATGCTACACAGGATCTGAGGCAGCTCCTCACACCAATAGCACAACGAGAGCGCGATGTGTTCTGTGTGGAGGAAGGTGCCAAAGCTGTGTGTGAAAACCCACAGTTCCACAAGCGCGCTTCCTCAAAGTCTGGGGCCTGGCTTCGTTTTACCTACCTCAGCTAGCTCAGAAAAGAAAGGCCAGCTTGCTTTCTTTCAGTATTTGAAATCGAGTTCCTTGAAATCTTTGCACACAAGAGCTGAGGATCCACAAAACGCTGACACGAAAAACACTGCCACTGGAAACAGAAGCATCGAGAGAGTTCTGAACGCTTCCACCAAAATGAGGGTGCTCAAATACATCCAAAAGAGAATTTCCTACCTGCAGAACCCTCCCCCTTGACCAGCTGAACAGAAAAGCAGTGCTTGGCAAAGCAGGCCCCACTTGCTGGCAGAGAGGCCCACTGCAAAGGACAGAATAAGCACTTCACTCGTATCCAGCACAGGCCTCTAGAGTTACCGAAGTGAATTTTATTAAAAATGACACAGAGAAAGTTATGAACTGCTAGGAGGAAGAAATGAGAGCCTTATTTCCTTTGACCACAGAGCCCTGTGTGCTATCCCAGATCTCCAGAACCTGCACTGCATACCCCCCCCTCACCCAGTATTATTTATTAAAAGGTCCACTTGAACGGGAAAGGAAATTAAAACATTTGTTCACTGATACAGAATATCCTCTACAAACCATGTGAATAAATAATCCTTAATCTTGCAATTAAAATGTTCGCTCCTGTCTGAAGCTAATGCAAGGGGTTTTAATAGCTGCTGAAGTCAGGCAGTTTTTATTACAGGAGCTTCCAGTATAACAAAAAATTCTGATGTTATCATACGAGCAGTTAGTTGGTCTAGCACTAAGCCACAACGGAGTAACAAGAGATCACTGAATTGTTTGGACTTGACAGATGATAACTAAAGGAAAGAAGAACAAAACTGGAATGTTGTTTCCTCCTGGCACTGCAGGTAAACATGTGTGTCTCGAGGGCGTAGGAGAGAATGGGAAGGAGGGAACCTTCACACTGTTTCCTCACCTAAATGAAAGAATCCAAAACATCCAAAGGAATCAGCCAAAGAAAATAAAAATAGTTCCGTTAAACACTGTTGGCTTTTGGATGATTTACTTCTAAGGACTCCACTACTTCGAACTCCAGTATGTAAACATACCTGAAGTGCTTAGTTGATTATTTTAATGCAGAGACAGCTCGTGTTATTGTATTGTTACGCATTAAGGAAAACAAAAGATACTGAAAGTATTGAACCAACAAGGAAAAACCTATCACAATACAGCACATTTGGAATGTCACGGCTGAGCTTTCCATTGTTACATGTATCACTAAGATGTATCAGCAAGTTCCAAAGGAAAATAAAAAAAAATCCAAGAGAACACACGATGTGAAAAAAAAAAATACAGCTTCCAAGATACAAATGTCCAGAAGAACAGGGAGGAGATGACAGTTCTGCAGCCCCCTTCCAGCCAGCAGTGCCAAATGATGGATGTCCCCCACACCATGGGATGCAGAGCAGGCATACGACCTGCCCCCCCAGGAAACACCTACCTACCCCATGACCACAGCACTTCAGCTCTGTGTGATCACACAGATCTTACATCTTTTTAATCACAACCTTAAGAACGCTTTCATTTCATTACTGCCTTCGGCATTTCTGGAGTTTTGTGGACTGTAGAGATTATACCCCACTCAGTTAAAATCGAGCGTATGAAGTTTCTTACCTCCTATATTCTGGATAATTATTGTAGTTGCAACAAGGACCTATAAAAAAAATTGATTTCTTTAGAAAGGGTAAGGATAACTGGAGTCGTATGCCTGTAACGGTCATAAAAACACATACGTATAATCTTAAACAGACCAGATGCAAAAGCAGCAACCAGTACTGAAAGGAAAGGCATCTTCTGCTTCACCAAGAGTTCAACACATGGAAACCAACCTCAAATGAATATAAAAGCAAAGCAACCCCTGAAGGAAAAAAAAAAAAAAAGCATTTTCATTCTGAGATGACAAAACAAGAGTAGCAAAAGGGCAAAGCTTTGTTTTGCAGATCAGGTTTAAAATCATAGAGAACATGAGTGCTTTTCAATCGATATCAGGCAGGTAGAAAGGAAAATCATCCTTTGCCTCTGAAAAGGCACTCAGACAGCAGAGATGATCTACACAAACTATTCCTCACTCCATATAACTATGAATATTAACAGTCACAAGCATCGTTTTTTCTAAGCCTATAAACTAGACAGACAATTCTTTTTGTGATTGCTATTATTCACATTGGACTAATATAAAATATAGAGACAATCATAGGGCAAACAAATACTTGACTGAATATAAACAGTTGTTAACTTCCAACTGACAAAACCCGGGCAGCCGTATGTGAAGTTTTCCCACTGTTTTAGTTTCAGCTCAGATTTGAAACAGTGCCCTCATCTACACAGTACAGTCCTTCGTGCCGTACATCATTACATAGTAGCACCTTTCTACTACCAGAAATCAGCCCGGAAAATACGTTGAAAAAAATGAAATCAAACCACAATTGTGGAAGAAAACCAAATAAGTTCTGGAAGCAGAGTTGCCATTTTTCCCAGCCGATCAGTTAGAAAAGCACACCAGGTCTGTAATGAGCTGAACGTCAGCGTATTGTCATTTGCCACAGATGGAAAGAAACGCTCCGTGCTTTTGGAGAGGGAGAGTCAAACTTCCATCTGCAGATCCCTAGCCTCACAAATCACACCAGTGTTTTCAGCATGAGATCACTGGATGGGTGAAGAGCTGCTTTACTCCAGGAGCAGTTACCAGCAGTTCACTATCAGCCCAGAGTGCCAGTTCAAGCACCATCCTACAATGCTCCGACTATCATTAGTGGATGGCTTGGATGAGGGAAAAATAAACACAACATACAAAGAAACCAAAAGAAGCAAAAACTGTGCAATCTGTGCCTGACCAAGCTGAGAGAAGTTCAGAGAGAACACTGGAATTCAAAATGACCGTGATAAATGAGGAGAGTCTAAAAATCAATAGCACCAGTTAAAAGCAATGCATTCAGGAAGCAGAGATCAAATGCAGGGTTTACAGTTATTAGACTGCAAATGGAGAAAAGAGCCTGAGATAAAACAATTAGTGGCAGCCACAGCAATGGCAAACCTTGTTTATCCCTGGCAAATTCTCAGCCAGCGTCCTGCATTCCATTGTTTGATCAAGATGTACAAACATCACAGATACTTCCACAGAGAAAGGTCAGTGCTGCAGAAAAACATGGGTTCCTCCAGAAAGGCTCGGTGACCTCCAGCTTTCTGCTTAATCCAAACAGCTTCCCAACCCAGGTACATCCCAACCACTGACCTCAATCCATACACACCAAAAACTGATGATTTTTAGCAGAAGAAGCGACTTATAATAGTAAACTACAAAACAGTCACATTTAGGGAGAATAATAAAATCACCACGGTAAAGCTGTGATACCTCCTTCATTGGATAACATGGAATATCCACCAAATAACAAATTTGCCATGAATTGCTTCCCTGTGTTTCTCCCTATGCTGCAGAAAAGGGGAGAATCACATTTTAATGCCCCCTTACGCCCTGTGTTTCTATGACTGCTGCACCTAATGGCGTGTGGTTAACGTACCCACAGCCCCTCTCATGAAAATAAGATGATAAATTTTGATGTTAGAATGGTATGAAATCATCTGCTGGGGACGATCACATCTTAACTCTGCTCAATAGATATTGATCTCACACACTGCACTCGCTATCTGCTCATTAATGCTAATGGCAGCTTATACCTAATAGCTCAGTTTTAATTCTCACATGAAAATAGAAGTGAGACTCCAGTCTGTTAAGCAGAACTCATTTAAAGAGTTGTTTTTTTTTCAGAAAACTATCAAAATTGCAGTTGTGTGGTCAAACCTGCTTTTAGAATCGCTTAAATGAAACAGAGCATAGAGTCACAGTATTACATGCACAGTATTTACCATTAGTATTTCACATTACTGGACAACACTGTCCATCAAGAAAAGCAGATTCAATTCCCATTACTAAAATGGCACAACTTACATGCTGAGTATGTTTACACCAAAAACTTAACATGCATGAAACATTCCTGTTTATTTATATTGTAGAAACTGCATGAAAGGCAAACACCGTCGAGCTCTACGAGAACCTCCAAGAGCAGCAGTAAATCACCCAGGTGTCTCTTAACAGCTTACAGCAATGGTGCAACGGGACTGAGAGCAACCTGGAATGGATGGCTGAGCTGACCTGAGTGCAGAGCCAGCGAGCAGACACTGGGAAAGACAGTAAGAGGAGCACAATGGCAGGAAAGGAGCACAAAAACTTGTATGTAAGAAGCGTCTGTTATACAGCTTGCTGACCTTCACAGCACAACACACTGGCTGAAAGTTGGTTTGGGGAACTAAATTTTTTTTTTTTTTAACAATATCAGAACTTTACCAATTACACAGATTGCATCCATATATCCTTACTATGTAATTAACAGCTGTATATCAGAAGTAGGAGAGCAAGAAAAGAAACACACAGGCACTGACAAACACTTGCCTTTCCAGCTGATCCAAACGCAAACAGGCCGAGGTCCTCGTAGGAAGTGACAGCTGTTGATAAGAAAGAAATAAAAAAGCTAAAATACTCCTAACTGCAAAAATCACCCAAGAGCTCCAGCTTTGCCTTTTCTTTCTTTTTTTTTTTTTTTTTTTTTTTAAGCTCAGGATCCAATTCAGAGACAATTTTATAATACAGTCTACTTATAAAATAGCATTAGGATATACTTGTATTCTTGCTACAAAATATCTGCCCGACCACTCAGACTCACCAGAAATTCAGTGTACCATTAAAAATAGCTGTATAAAAAGTAAAAATACTACACTAGGAGCAGGCTGCCTTTTCCCAAAGAGTTTTGCAAGCAACACTACAGATGAAGAATTTTGCTATTAGTCTCAAGAATTAGAGGCAAGCTATTTCTAGATTTTATTTCTTAAGTGTATGCTTGCTTTTAAGTGAAGACAATAAGAGAAACATGCCTTCATCTTTCCCCAAACATAAACACCAATCAATCACCATCGTGGCAGCTTTCAAAAACAAAGCTTCCAACATTGCTGAAGGTAAACACCTTCCTGGGCTGCAATCTGTTACAAAAAGCAGACGACAACAAACAAAACCAAACCAAAGCAGAAGCAAAAGCAAAGCAAGCAGCCTGCCCTTACTCGCACCTTCCCAACTAATCACACCACAACAGCCTGCGGTTTCCTGAGCAGCAAAGCTCACCTCTAATACTCAAAACAACTCAGAACGATCCCTTCTCAGAAAGGAGGAAATCATATTAAAGTCTTCCATTGCTGCTTTCCATTCAGCTATTAGAAGCTCTAGCGATACCAAAAGCATGAATACTCCAGAGAACGGCCCAGAGCTGTAAATGCCTCTAAGGGTAAAATTAACCTCCAGAGTACACAGCTCTCTTGATGCAACTCTCGCCTCCCCTTCCTTGGTTCCACTTGGTGGACTACAGCTGCTCCTCCTGCTGCTTGTTCCTTTCTCATGAGGCCTGGGGGAGGAGGCGGCTCCGTACCAGGGCACCCCTGGGCTGCAATATTAAATATTTAATACATTTCATTGTCTATTACTAGATTTCACCCTCTTTTTTTCTTCGATTTACATTTGTAGAGCAGTTAGCAGCAGATAAATAGCATTTTAGAAGGCCAGTGTTTAGTATGTCTGAGAGCTGCTTGTACTGCATGGGAACAAATACCCAACGCACACACACACGGAGTTACCAAGAAAAAAAGTGTTTTCCACAGAATTTCAAACCAGCAACACAAAGCCTTGGAAGAGTTTTTGTAGCTATTCTGGTTTTTGAATCAGTTTAGTCCTGTGAACACTGAGGAAGCGTTAATATTTAATCAATTACTTTGGTACTTTCAAAAAGTATATGGAACAAAATATCCAGCACTACTGCCAGAAATACATTCTGCCTGCCCGGGTTCATTTCTTGTGCATTATTAATGGAAATCATTTCAGCCCAAAGTTAAACTGGTGAAAAAAGCACAGGCAAAACTCATGAGCAGCTCCAAATGGAAAAAAGCAAAAAGCCATGAAAATTCACGGGACATCCCCCTTCAATTCCTCATTCCTCCACTTACAGCATTTTGCCACCCCAAGCCCTGATACAGCTTTTGTAGCACCAAATTAACACCAGAAGAAAACCCTGTCCAACCCAACCCCAACACACAGCACTGTTTGTTTTCTAAGTCATTTGGCCTCACAAATCATTTGACCAGGACAAAGCCACCCCACACCAACATCACTTACAAACTCAAGGCACTTCTTTGTTTTCAAACTACAACTTAAGTGCCCGCACTTAAATTCTGCTCTGTTTGAAATGGAATTAATATTAAAGCTTCCTTTGCAGAAGGGGCTTTACATGTCGGCTCTTTCCTAGGATTACTTTTATGATTTAAATACCTGAGTGAACAGTTTTCCAACAATCCCATAAGGCTTTTCTTTACCCTTTCCCCTTCAAATTTTCCTAGCTCACTTTTTTCAATATAAAACTACTAACACCACTCTCCCATTCCTTGCCACAGATTAAGCTTAATACCGTAACACTGTTCACAAATGAACGCATGCTTAATGTTAAAACGCTCAGTGATCTATTTTGGAAGTATTTACACAAAGTTCACTTTGGAAAGGCACAACTGGTCACACATCTCCCTTTTTCAAGTGGATATTCCAAGGAAAAGCCTGGGATGCTATTTAATGTGAACTTACTTCAGTAGTTTACAGGAACTACGGCCGATAAAATCACCGCCGTCACCCTTCAAAACAGCAACCATAAATGCAGCAGAGATACCTGGGCATAGCTCAGAGCTGGGATGCCCATCAGCACGAGGTGCTAACTACTTATTGACCACACGGTGCTCATTTCAGACTAGGGGAGTACTTCACCCCCTCATTTAGGGCTACTCCTTGCTTTTGGCCGTGTGCGTTTCCAAAATGCATTCTGGAAGTGATGCGTTGCCTTTGACAATAAATAAATGAGGAGTTAAACTATGCTGGCGTATCAGGTCTCCATGTTTTCCTCCTCTCCCTCCTTCACCCCCAGCAGTTCTTTGTGAGGATATCTTCCTATTACTTTACCAGATAATAGCACAATACCATCTAGTGCCTATATAATGCAGAACTTAAGAGGTGAGCAAACATCACCAAGATTCACCCCTTATCTCGATCTTTTTTTCTTTTAATATGTATCTTTCTAGCTATTTATCCCAGGTTTTGATTCCTCTCTAACAAGCAAAGCTTCAGAAAGAAAAAAGAATGCCAGTGAGTCACAAGTCATTGAGCAGCCAACATCACACACAGACGTAGCCCTACCTCCGAAGAAGATTTTTAAGGAGTGCACGAGGCAGATCACTCAATAGCTGAAGACAGGAGCAGCAGATCTAAGGAGAATCGAGAAGCAAAGATCAGAGAGCCCAAAGCTACAGAAAGCACAGCCTGTAAGGAATGGAATGCAGCTTTCTCCCATCACCTTTGAAAAGAGGGGAAAAGAGATGAGATGGAAACAATAACCAGGTTCTGGAAGAGATGGAGGCTTCCCACTGAGACAAGGCCTTTGTGTGCTGGAACTCAAGGAAGCAGCCAGGTGTTCAGTAACAATTAAAACAAGCAAGAATTAAAATATTAGCAGCAGACTAGAGCTCAAATGTTAGGATCTCCTGTTTGGACATTCTCAAAGCAGTGTAATTTCTAAGTAAGGACTGCACTTCTCACTATCAGAAACGCTGTGAAAACACACATCTATGAAGTCTGCATAATAACAAAATCTGACCAGTATTCACTCCAAACAGTGGATAAATGAGTTACAATTAGAATAATGGCAGTTGGCTGCTTATTGAGAGCAACACTGAGACTGCATATAGATAACCAAAAAAGCACGGTCTAGCTCACACCAAAATTATTTGGGTGGAGAAATAGGAGACTTATCTTCTTGGGAATATGCCAGGTGCATTCTGAGAGAAATAAATGAGAAGCCAGCGAGGCAGTACTGGCAATAAATCAGTTTGTTTGGTGTTTACTTTTCATATAAGGCGTTTTGAATCTGTGGGGTTTTTTAATGACAAATGGGAACAGTTAGATGAAACTAGATGATCTTTGAGGTCCTTCTCAAGCCGGGCCATTCTGTGACCAGGCGAGGGAAGGCTGCCAAGGGACGGCTGTGGGACAGCTCCCCTCACTTACCGGTCTGCGTGCACATGCTGAGCAGGAGGAACACGGAGTAAACCGCGAGGCCGGCAACCATCAGCAGCAGGGCGCTGGAAGCACAACGCATTCACGTGAGGAACTCCCGCAGAACAACGCGCTTTTTCTATCTTTAAAAACGCTCCGTTTGCAAAAAAAAAAAAAAAAAAAAATTATCACAAGACAGGATTTCCTCATTTCCTGCCTTCCATTCAGCGGCCGTACGGTGCGCACACGGGGGCGAGACGAGGCACGAGCAGAGAGCCCGCAGGCAGCCCCACGCAGCGCTGAGCGAGGCGAGGCGAGCCGAGCCCCGCACGCCGCGCCCGCACCCCGCCGGGCCGCGCAGCACAACTCGCTGCTCCCCCCGCTGCTCCACGGCCGCTCCTCGCCCGCCGGACCTCACCTGAAGCCCAGGACCCCCGTGCCGGCCATGGCGTAGGACAAGCCGAGGATGCCGCTGCCCATGATCGCGTTCATGAGGTTGAACACGGAGAGGCCGAAGGAGGAGCCGCGCTGCGAGGAGCCCTGCGGGGAGAGCGCGCTCAGCGCCAGGTGCCCGCACGGCGCCCCTGCCCGCCGCCCCCCGCCCTCACACGCACTCTGCCCGACGCCGGCGGCAGCAGCGGCGCGGTCTCGTCGTCCTCCTCGCTATCGCCGCCGCCGTCCTCCCCCTGGCCGCAGTCCCGCTGCCGCCGGGCGGACAGGTACCAGCCCCGCTCGGCCCCCCGCGGCGGCGCCTCCATGGCCGCGCAGCGCCGCGGCTCTGAGCGGAGCGGGGCGTCGCCGAGGGAGGGGGGCGTGGCGAAGGGGGCGTGGCTTACGTCGAGCCCCGCCCCGGCTCTCGGAGCGGCGCGGTTTGATGACGTAACGGGGTGCCGACGCGCGGAGCGGCTCGGCATGAGGTGAGGGCGGGAATGAAGGGGGGCGGTAACCATGGCGACGCGCGGCCCGCGTGCGGGGCGACCCGGCACTCCGCGGTGGGAGGCTCGCGTCCAGCCCGAGGGGCCGTGTGTGCTTTGAGCCCGGTGCCTCTCGGGGCGCCGAGGCCGTGTCCCCTCCCCCGTCCCTTTTTCCTCTCGGCTCGGTCTGAAGGAATCCCCACGGCTCCGCTCGTGGCTGTGGGAGGGGAGGAGAGGCCTCGCTGGGGCAGCGGCGGGAAGGCAGGCCTGCCGGAGCCGATGCTGTCGTTCCTCTCGCGACGGTGCCACTGTAATGACTTCCAGTTGGGCCCGGCGTGGTGGATATTAAATCGTGGTAACGGGGGATCCGTGCTAATTGGGTCGGCGGTCTTCAGCTGGAGGGAAGGGGAGAGCCGAAGGGAGACGATGGGATGCACCGAGCTGAGCACACCTACGTGCAGTGCTCATTTTTGAGTCAGCAGGGCAGGGAGCCGTGCGGTGCCAAAAGGCTTGGATGAGGAAAATGAGCTGGTGTGGAGATGTGGGGAGCACTGGGGTCTGCAGGGCAGGAGCAGGGAGCTGTGTTATGGATTCAGAACCATTCAGGTTGGAAAAGACCACAAAGATCCCAAGTCCAAGTCCAGCCCACCCCCACCATGCCCGCTGCCCACTGCTCAGTGCCACATCTCCAGGGTTCTGGAACACCTCCAGGGTGACCCCACCACTCCCTGGGCAGCTGTGCCACTGCATCACCATTATTTCTGAGAAGAGATTTTTCCTAATATCCAACCAGAACCTCGTCTGGCACAACTGTCATCTTATAGTGTGCAGGCCAGTGGAGCAGCTGCCTTCTCCTCAACCACCAGCCTTAAGGCAAATCGCCTGAGTAGCCAGGGCAGCGTCAGCCTCCAATGCTACCAGCATCATCCATTCCTGTCTAGGAGCAGCCAAGACCCCTCAGCCTGTCTCTAGTAGAGGAAACCACTTGAAGAAGCATAGAGCTCCTTTTCAAGTCCACATCCTATGAACAAGCTCTGGAGGATGGTTCAGCCATCTGAGCAGACATTACTAATGCTTCCCTGTAATGCTAGGAGAATCCTCCATTTCATCCTTTGCCTTTCTCATGCGGTTCATGGAGCAAAGGCAGTACTGTGTGCAACCCGTACTGCTGGGAGATGGAGGCAGGAATTCCTACTGAGCAGCTGTGACCACTGTTGCTAATAGTTGTTTTCTAGCAACCACTGCTTGGTAATGCATTTATCAGAGGCAGAAGGGATCCGGCAGTGGGATCAAGACGGTAGAAATTTTTTATTTGGCTTACTGGGATTAATATTGCATTTATTAGAATAAAGAGAGCCCGCTGTATTTTGGCAAGAGATGCTTATCTCATTGCTTAAAGTCAGTTAGTGTGTTAAGTTTAAAAATATGCTTGCAAAAGGACAGAAATTTGTCGTGTATAATTGATAATAAAGAGGTTTACAAAACTATTGTGGATTCCCTGGTACACATGGAAATTCTAGTTAAAGAGAACAGCAAATCCATATGATTTGCAGCCTTTTTAATGGAATGGTTACATAATGTCTATAAAATGAATGATTTCTTTTCTAGGATATTATGGGGATTTGGATATTCTGCCAGACTACTGAAAACTAATCATTATAGGCCAGCTGCATCAAATACATCATCTCCAGCAGTTTGGATGCTATTGGCACAGCGTTCTGGCAGAATACCTGCACTCTTTGCAGTAGTTCAGAAGAGGAGAATTTTCACAATGCCTGAAACAGTGCAGGATGACACAAACCCAGGACTGTATTCGCCGCATCCTGAAGTGCGTGGGATGACGCTGCTCAACCGAGAGGCTTTTAAAAGGACACTCGTTGTTCCAGTTCTTAAAGTAAAGAAAGAAATTGTCCATACTTTGCTGAAGTCCCTAAAGCAGACGGTACTGCAGCGACCCGGACTGAAGCGAGTGGTTGAGGATCCAGAAGATGAAGACAGCAAACTTGTTATATTGGATCCTCATAAAGTACCAGAATTCTCATTGGGAGAGTCAGAGAAAGAGGTATTAAAACAGCTTCACATTAGTCCTGAGGTGTCCAAGTACAATTTGGAGCTGACTTACAAGAATTTCAAGTCAGAGGAGATCCTACGAGCAGTCCTTCCTGAAGGCCAGGATGTCACCTCTGGCTTTAGCCGTGTTGGTCACATCGCTCACGTGAATCTGAGAGACCATCAGCTCCCTTACAGACATTTGATTGGTAGGTAAACAACCCTCATCAAAGAAGTTATTTCATTTCCAAAGATATTTTTACAATTATTCTACCCAAAACTACCACATGTACTAAGAGAACTCACAACGACTCCAGTCTTTTATATTTTGGCATTAAATTGCTTTGTGCTGATGCTTTACCTGTACACAGAAGACACAACTCTTTGAACAGTAACTGTGGTCTCACTGCACTGAGCATTGGGTTGGGGATAAGTGTGTGCTTCAGTGAGATCCAGCACTGTGCAGTCATTGGGGGGGGCTGTTGTAATGTATGTTTGCTTTTATAAATGTAAAAGTATACTGCACTGTTTGTATCTTTTATATAACATTAAGAGGTTGTAGTTCCTTAACCAGAATATCTCCTGTCCTCTTTTCAGGCCAGGTTATAGTTGACAAGAATCCAGGAATCACCTGTGTGGTGAATAAAACCAATATTATTGACAGCACATACAGAAATTTTCAAATGGAAGTGCTTGCAGGAGAGAGCAACCTGGTAACCAAGGTACAGGACTTTTCCCCTCTTACTGTAAACTTCACATGCTAAAACCTGAAGCCATCTACTGGAGAGCTGTGGTGGGTAGACACCGTTATGGCCATTCCCTTGCACAGGGAAGGCATTTGAATTGTCAAGTCAGAAGTGACAAGCAAATATTGTGCAGATGGTATTAGCTCATTACACATACATCTGGTACAGCACTGAGTGCACACTACAGGATGCCAATCCACGTCAGTATGTTTCTTGCTGGCAAAGCAAACGTTGCAGTGAATTGGAATAAGTTACTTCAGAGCCACACAATTCAGTGTAGTGGTGTGAAGAGAGCACTGTATTGCACTGCACTGCTGTCTGAATAAACAGTTTGTTTCTAGTTCTGTTGGTAGGATAAGGGTCATCTTGAATTTTGGGCTTGGATCTGTTTCCAGACTCTGTCACCTAAAGAGATAAAATGCGGTGTTTTTGCAGACAGCACAACTGGCTCCCAGTGGCTCTGGATTTGGCTGACTGCTGCCATTCTCGTACTGTATCATTCTCAGACACTTATTTATTGTGTAGACTCTGTGCTAAGGAGGGTTTGAGGCATCTTCCCAAGATCTGCTTTCAATAATGGAGTTGTCAGACAGCCACAAAGCTCATGAAAAGCCTCAGATTTTATTTTGTATGGTCATTTTAAACTGTTGCTTCACATCCACCTGGTGATGAAGAACTGCATAAGTCAGCCATCTGCATTGACAGCTGAAACATTCCTTATGGCTATTTATGATGAGCAGACCTGTTTATACACGTTGCACATACACTATCAATGGGACAAATGTCAATCTACACATTAGCTTTTGTTTTTTAGCTGTCTTAATTACTGATTTTGCTTTAATGTGTCTGGAATTTGAACACAGAGACTTAACCAAAGGTTTCTGTCTTCCAGGTCAAAGAAAATAATTTCACATATGAACTGGACTTTGCTAAAGTCTACTGGAACCCCCGTCTCTCCACAGAACACGGCCGTATCGTTGAGCTTTTAAAGCCTGGTGATGTCCTTTTTGATGTCTTTGCTGGGATTGGACCTTTTGCTATTCCAGCAGCAAAGAAAAAGTGTGTTGTATTTGCAAATGATCTCAATCCAGAATCCTACAACTGGCTGCTGCACAACTGCAAGCTGAACAAAGTAGACAACAAAATAAAAGCATTCAACATGGATGGCAGGGACTTCCTCCTGGGGCCAGTGAGAGAAGAGCTAAGGAAAGAGCTCACACTTGTAAAAGAGCAGAAAGCAGCTTTTCATATCGTCATGAACTTGCCAGCTTTGGCTATTGAATTTCTGGATGTTTTCAGGCATCTCTTAGTTGGAGAGCCCTGCAGTACTGCTGTCCTCCCCACAGTGCACTGCTATGGTTTCTCCAAACACGAAAACCCAACCAAAGACATCCAGGAACGGGCTGAGGCTGCGCTGGGAGCCTCCCTAGAGGGACGCTGCTCTACTTACCTGGTTAGAAACGTTGCTCCAAATAAGGAGATGTTGTGTATAACTTTCCAGATCCCAGTGGACGTGCTGTACAAGAGGCCCTGCCCTGCTGGAGGTAAGTGGCATGTGGATTTCATGCTGTACTTATGCTGTTTGAGATTGTCCCACCTCATCAGTCCATGGGCCACATGTGCCACAAACATGTGTGTGCCACAGCTGCAGGGCTTCATCAGCAACTTCTGATCCCAGCAGGAGCCTTCATGAACTGCATAGGATCATCCCACAGCCATAAAGCAGAGCTTTTGCCTTTACATATCCTCAGTGACCAACAAATTGGTCATTTGTTTCTTGTAGAAACCAGCTGTTTCAGTGACACTGAGCTTGGCACAATGTGACAAGTTGGGATAGGGAAGCTTTCCATCTGCAGTTACATGAACTGGAAGGAGGTTTTAGTAAGGTTTTCTTGCCACAAAACAGTTTTATGCTGTTATGTGCAGTGCTGAGATGTAGGTCAAAATGCAGCTCAGTGCAGGTGTTTTTAGGGTCATCTTCAGCAGTCTATGAAGGAATGACTTCCCTTTATTGCTGTAACAGTCTTCATTTGTTCTTGGGCTCATTGCTTCTAGTTCAGTCCCATGTGTTGCATGGCTTGTGCTTCAGTTTCGTCTGTTTATTGCATGTTAAAGAACTTTTCCAACTTTCTTCTAGAAAAACCAGCCCCTAAGCGCCTGCGTACCTGCAAGGATTCTACTGAAGAAGACATACAGAGCTGAAAACCAGAGTTCTGGTAATGACCTGATTAGTTTGCATAAGGTGTGCTTAGGTTACCTCTAGTCCTTCCCTTCAATTGTGCACAGTGTGCTATAACCTTCCTTTATGAGCACTGCCTCCTGCATTCATTTTTTTTTCAATTGTGGGATCAATTGCCAGATTGATACTGTTCTTCTTACTGCAATAAATAAAACTTCACTGTTTTTGTACAAAAATGTATTGTCATACTCTGTTATTTCACACCCTGTCATGATTCAGTGACACAGACTGGGACAGTTCTGTGCTGCAGTGTTACTTTAGTACAGTTTGCAGTGAGAACACCTTTGCGCATGTTGTAGGACCAAGCAGGATGATTTGTGTAACCCCCTCATTTACAGCACAGATCAGGATTCTCTTTGATAAATGGTCTTTAGGAATATTGGATTACTCTTAGCATTGGCACAGACAGCTCTACTGAAAGCAAGGCAGCCCTTCAGAGGCTGACCTAAGGTACAGAGAGGCAGCAGAAGCCACATATAGCTCCTGGGCTTTTGGAGTAATAAATGCTTTTTACCACTAGGAGATTGAGTTGGGGTTAGGAGCTACTCTAATGCCATTTGCACACTTGTACACGTTTTGGTTAAAGCAGCAGACTGAAAACCAGTACGTAGCTGATGGGTCCTCCTCTCATTGTGAACCTTTCTCCTCTCTGTGCTTTCTCCAAGCTGTCCCCTACTTCTGATGCAGCCTCTGGATGATCTCTGACTGGCTGCTAGTATTCTGCAGGGATTCAATAAAGCATTGCCCTTAATTTCCTTTTCTTCCTTATCCAAACTATTGTTGGGCAACGTCAACCGCAGACAATTTATTTGGGCAGAGAACTCACGTCACGCTCTCGGTTTCGGATACTTTCCTTCAGCCTAAGCTCACTCATAGCAACACTTACCAGATGTCCCTCATCCTCCTCCCTGGAGCCCATACCCTGATGTCCTGGTGCTCACCAGCCTGCTCAGTGGCTCTGTTACATTCCTTTTCCTCTGGCTATACAGCCTGGTTACTGCTAGATTGCTTTTATCAAACTAGGGGGAAGAAAAACCATGATGACTCACTCATGCTATCTGAAAGCAGCTGTACAGATTGCTTCCCCAGCCTGCCACTCCAGCCCCAGCATTCCTCCACTGGCCTTAAAATGGTATCACAGTGACTTTAACCTATTTGTCCTTTCTGTCAGTGTCAGTCACATCATATCCTACCAGCCACGGCTCCTCTCAGAGCAGGAGCTGGACTCTTGCCTCCAGGCCACGATGCTATCTCTGCTGTCTGATACATTCTCTACCACCACAGCACGCTCTCCTCCAGCTTCTCTTTGCATTTCTCACAAACATTGCAAAGCTGCTGTTGTTTTTCAGAGCTCTCCATAAACACCGTGATGGTGATAAGGGTGCTGACCATCCTGGCACGACGCAGTCACCCACTGAGCTGAGCCAACTCCATGACCTGTAACTGACAGAATGCAGAGCCCTTTGTGTCTGTTACTTCACAATCCCAGCTTGGGGCTTCTTGGCACTACTGCAGTGAGAGAAACAAGGGTTTGATCACCTTTTTGCTGGCTACATTACACTGATTTTCAGTATGTGACCAAAATTTCCCTGTGCAGGGAGGGTTTTAGCGCTCAGCAGTTTTTTCACTTAAGGATTATATGCTATAGCAGAATGAGCTTACATGCAGGTGAATGGATTACATTTAACTACACTTAAAATTAGGGGTTTTTTTCATGTTTGTGTGCAGCGACAACTTTTGCATATAAACCTTGCACATTTAAATAGCAAAATTTAGCCAGCGTGCAGCCAAATGGCAGAAGTACATGGTACACATCAGTACACAAGTGCAGTTCTGCATTCATTAGGTTAAGAAGCTGAGGCTGTACAGATTGAATGGAAACTGGATCTTCAGTAGGGTGCATCTCAGGTCCAGGTGAGCACAGAACAGCACAGTGCCCCTGGCTGCTGCCTCTCCTTGCCAGGAGCCTGAGCTGAATCCCAAAGGAACTGCCAGAGCTTCTGGCTGCCAGGGAAACCAGCAAACAGATCTGGCAGCAGTGGCAGCCATCTGCCGTGAGATGAGGAACAGATAAATCAAGGACATGTAAACTTTTAGGCTTTACAGATGAGAGGAAAGGAAGCAGAACCTCCAGGGACAGAAGGCTGAAAAGGCCAGACTACAAGAAGAGTACGAGTGGTTTCCAACACGCGCTGCACAGCTGAGGTCTGCAGCACCCGGCCCAAACGCTCCCTTCTCCAGGGCAGGCAGCACTCAGCAGGCTGTGCCTTTCTGCACCTCAGCGTTACCTGTTGACAGCACTTTGCACAGTACAACAGGACTTAAAGAGAAAATGTTGGCACCTCCCTCCCCCGTCCTTAATAAAGGAAGCACTGAGTCTGGAACGGAGCTTATTCTTCTCTTTATTACAACTCAGACAAAAATACATTCAGTCAGTACGCTGCTCACAGCAGTATTCAACAAGTATTCATGGATGACTTATAAAATGTGGTCCAGGCTTTACTCTAGAGGCACACATTGCCCCAAATGGTTTCCAGTCTCCTGCAATTTATACACATCCATGGAAAAAACATCCCAAGACAGCACCCTGCTCCTGCTGCAATTAGCCTGAGCGAGAGGAAGGGACACATGAAAGCAGCAAATGGAGTGGCCAGGTTCATCCCACAGCCAAAGCAGAGGATGCCCCTGCCAAAAGAAGCTCCTGCACACTTGACACAGAAGGTGCAAACATAGCTAAGGAAACAAAACCAACTGTGACTACTTGGAGGAACCAGCAGCATATACAGGTCTCCTTGACTGCTTTAGAGGAACACAGCAGAAAGACTTTCAGCTACAACTTTGCTTGTTTTCCAAACAAAGGTAACAACCAAGTGACATCAGGAAGGATCCTACACAGGAATCGTGTCAGCACAGTTCCTGTGTTTCCCGTCTCATCCAGTTGGCAGGAAGAAAAACCCACTTGTCTGAGCTGGGGAAGCCAGTTTTATGGGAATACAATGTAGGCTTGAATATTGACACTAAATGTTATAATCAAAATGGCATTTAAATGCTTGTGCAAATAAAACCCTGCAATAAGAGTTAAACCACAAACTTTAATAAAAAAGTCTGGCTTTATTTAAAGAAATTTACAAGTGTATTTTTTTTTTAAACCTCAAACATACACAGCTGAGTTATTCACATCTTCCATTAGATGTGGCTTATTGCTTCAGCCTCCCTCAGCAAAGTGCCACATGACTAACGAGCTTCCCACTCCACAAAAATGTATCTACCATTTTACAAAGCCCTTGTGCAGTCTTCTTTTTTTCCTTTAGCACTTAAACACAGCTGGTTTTACACAGAAAAGTGACTGCAGCTTAGCCATTGTGCAATGGCAGCAATTTAACCAACCTCTGCCACCTTAACTTGCTCCTCATCTCGTCCAGCATCCCCTTATTGCAGCTGGTGTCCGCTGGCTAACTGGGGAACCAGAAGAGACCACTGAAAGCATCCTGCAAGGCTCGGTGGCATGCAAGAGAAGAAGTGTAGCCCCCAGCAAGATCCTGTGGAGAAGCGGCTCGTACGTGGTTCAAGTACCTGAAACAGTGAGAGGCATTATGTTAGCACAGAAAGAAACTTGTCAAACACCTTCGTAATTCCAGTGGTGAGGCTGGGTATGTTTTTCTGGGAGAAAGCAGACTGTTTACAAGTGTGGATAGTGATAGGACAAGGGGGGATGGTCTTAAACTGAGACAGGAGAAGTTTAGGTTGGATATTAGGAGGAACTTTTTCCACACAGAGGGTGGTGAGGCGCTGGAACAGGTTGCCCAAGGAGGCTGTGGATGCCCCATCCCTGCAGGCATTCAAGGCCAGGCTGGATGTGGCTCTGGGCAGCCTGGGCTGCTGGTTGGTGACCCTGCACAGAGCAGGGGGTTGGAACTGGATGAGCATTGTGCTCCTTTGCAACCCAGGCCATTCTATGAAAGCAAAGAGGAAGAAGCTGCCTGTCTGCAGTGCCTGTGCTCATTAGGGAAGAGGTCATCTTTTTTCCCATTTAGCAGTTCCTTCTAACCGTGACAAGGCCAGCACAAGGCTTCCTACACTCCCCACAGCAGTCACGGGGTTTCAGCTCTGTGCAGTTAATGCCAGGCACTCCCATATCCAGCCATGCTGCTCTGACAACAACAGGGCTGAACTCTGCTCTCAGTCTGATGGGTCTCTGAAGTAAGCCTATGGACACCAGGAACTTGCATCAGGATGAGGCAGTTGTCAACATTTCAGCTAAAATTCACCCTTCATTAAGCACCATGGCCAGCCTGCAGAGCCATGAGATTTTGCCCCACACCAGGCAGACCTGCAGATGCCTCAGCTCCTTCCTGAGAGCCCAAATGCAGCTGCTGCACACACTGAGAGCTGCAATGGAAGGCATCTGCTCAGCAGGCTGCGTGTTTTCATTCAGTGCTGTAACCCTACAGTGCTTGCATCCCACACAAGAAAACATCAGAACAGATTCTCAGCATTTTACACCCAAACTGCATCAAATGAATTATCAAATAATAAAAGACAGAGGCTCTGCCCAGCACGATTAGCAGAATATCTCACATTTTAAACACCAGATAAAATATCACAAACGAGAACTGCTTTGCAGTGTAAGTCACTGAGTTTCAGAGAGCTGCTGTGATTCATCGCTCAGTAAGCGTTGGTCCTGGGAAGTCCTTCCACCTCTGGCTTGGCAATTCAAGCATCAACTTGCAAAACACATACAGCCCTTTATAATGCTATCCTGAGAAACCTAAACCAGCTGCACTTCTGGCAGGAAAACACAAGACCACCAGTAAAATATCCAAAACAGTTGCATCTTTTAATTTACGACTATACGCTGTTTCCATAAAGAGTATATAAAACAGGTCAGGTTTTATAGGTAAGACATAATAAACAGTCATACCCACTGATGCCATAAATGTGTAGAAAAAGAGGTTACTTAAAAATGATTAATTACAGTTAAAAACTATTTCTTGCACCTACCAACCACAACACACCGACACGAGCAACACTGCTGAGCTATTGTTGATAAGATGCTAAAACCAAGGCACAATTTGCCCATAATGGCTGAAGTGAGATGAGCTCTGCTGCTTGGCATCAGGGCACAAGCCCTGTGCTGACAGTGGAATCTACAGATACAGCAGTCATCTCTTACTCTGTAAGGAAAGGCAGTCTGCAGAGAGCTCTTGTTGTGTAGGAGAGTGCATTCTGCCTTAATAGATGTTTGAAAAGAACATTACTTGTCCCTTAGTATTTTTGGAGGAAAATCTCATCCTTCCCAAAGGCCTTTTACAACTGCTGTGGGAAACAGGAGCTCCTTCCTCAGCCAGGAATGATGAAGGATCCTGACCGTACCAATTTCCTCCCAAGCACTGGTGTGAAACTACCTCCACCCTCCAAACCAGAGAGTCTTATAAAACCAATTCCCATCGCAGAGAGATTGCACTTCTATCATGTTTATTTCATCACACAAGCTTTACTTTCCACTCCTGTACAGAACAGTCCAGAGAAAACAGGGATTATTTTACCCTTCTATATTAACCAAGGTTGGTTGTGCATTTTTTGTTACTTTTCTAATACATCGCTGAAGGAAGAGAGAGGCAGAGTTTACTGTTTCCCTTTTTTAGGTCAGCCAAAATTGGGGTATTAACAACAACAAGCCCTGATTTACAGATATTACAGCATTTCCAGTTAACTGGCACGCGATCCGCAAAGCAATACAGAACTGCTATTGCCAGAAAGGCTCCCATCAGCTTTTCCTAGGGCAACGTGCTCCCGTGACACAAGCACGACGCGCTGCTGGCTGACAAGTGAGATCTTTATTTTCCTGTTAAGTATCTAAACCTAATGCTCTTGACCCATTTAATTACTGTGGTGCACCAGGCAATTGCAAAGAATGTGCCACGCTGCAGCCGCACAATGAGCAGGGAATGTTTCGCCGGCTTTTCCACGTCGATCCCCATCTGTGCTGTTGGATCCTGCCATGCCCATCGCTGCAGCGTCTCTCTGAACTGGATTCCTGGGGTTTCTGGCAGAGGTCAGCAACTCTTTTCATCTGCACCTTTAGAACAGCACCAGGAAGAAGCGGCTGCCAAGTCTCGTTTCCAAAAGTCAAGCTCAGTTAGGTCCTGGGAGCTGGAGGTAATTGCTCTGACTAGTTAGCAAATTCCAGCACACTGGGTCTGTTTTTCATAGGTTTATTTTAAGTACCTGTAAATCTTATAAGCAGAAACCAGGAAAAAGAGGTTTGCTTTTTCTGGTGCGCAGTTTTTTAATGTAACTCGTATTTACCGAGGGCAGACTAAGCTCTGAAGTTTAAAAAAAAAAAAAAAAAATTAAAAAAAAAAAGCCTGTGCTATTATTTCTGAACAAGGCTCACCAGCCGTGTGCTCCCTGCTCCACGGTTTCACACTTCCCATTCACTGCAGTGCTGGTGCTCTGTGTCACACTGCCCAAGCAGGCCCCTTCCCCTCGCTGCAGCCCTTGGATGTTGATCTTCCCCATTAACCTTTCACGTCAGTTAAAACACATCGTATTTTGTTCTTCATGAGCCTTAAGGGGTTTTCATTCCTGACCTTCAGCTTCTCATCGCCACGTGAAAAAAAGTCTCCTGTATTCAGGGAAAAAGGTGTAATTTGCACTTGGTTCAGCCTCAGCACCAAGCTGGTCGTTGCTGGGGTTGGGCTTCCTTTCTGTTCTCTCTTTTCCCAGGGCCTTGTCACCATCACTTCATCAGGAACAACTGCAGCCGCCAGAGAACCACACAGCAGCACTTAGCATGCCAGCAAGCTGCATTCCCTGCACTGCTGCTTTAGAAGGCTGGAGGACCCGACACCACACAGCAGCACCTGGGATCACTGGCAAACACCCTCACTGCTCAAAGGCTGCCTTCACTGGGCTGCCTCTTCCAGGCTGAGATGTTGCAGGCACTCAGTGGTCTCAGTCTGAGCAGCCTTTGCCATGCCTCCTCCTGCCCTGCTCACCAGTCACACCAAGAGCCTCACAGTGTCACCCCGTATCGTCCTTGTCATCACCTCAGCATCTCCTCTATCCTCACCACGCTCCGGGATGTGGTTCCCATACAGCTTAAGCCAACTGATGCTGCTGGGGATGGGGCATCATATTTTATCTTCCCTTCCAACCCAACCAGTCCGTGATTCTATATGTGAAAGTAAGGTACAAGGAAGACACCTTCTGTAATGGTTCTTGTCTGAACCTGAAGTGGAAATGGGAGCTCTCTCAATTCACTCCCCAGAGGAGGTTGCTGAGAAAACATGGTGCTGGTTGCTGACCAGCTCCTGCTGCTCTTCCCATCCTGGTCTGGCACCAGGCCCCACCATGTGCTCTGTAACCCAAAGAAAGGGAA